TGATATTACCATGTACAAATGTTGATCAAGAACTATTACCTTGAGATAGATGGGTGAACTAGTTATCAGTAACAGAAGTTTTGATATCAGTGCTCTTTCTCACTGGCCAGAGGAGTCATAACACCTAAGCTGTTTGAGAAACAAAAGCTGCTTATTTGTTTGCTATTAATTTGATCTGATTTGAAAAACTAGCTCAGACCATGGTAGGTCATATAAGATAATACTCTTTGTTATGTGGAATGTTGTAACAATCCACCACATCCACAGGGGAGGGGGAAGACTTCTTTGAAGTAGACTCTCTGCTGTGAAGGCATTTAACAGCTTTCCCAGTCTCCTCCAGCTTTGTTGGATTTATGGTGTCTGGAGGTTGATGGGAGTTGACTTTCAGTTTATCTCTGCTGGGAAAATAAGGGACTCCATTGTTTGCATTCTTTATTTATGCTACATGGGTACAAAAACATTAGCCTTGTAGTCAGAGCATTAGTGAAACATAAAATAAAAATGAATCTGAATATACTGTTTGTTTTGCCTTCTGGTACGCTGGTGAATCCAGTACCATGGTTTGTTATTAAGCAACAGAGCCAGATTACCTATATCACTCTAAAAATGGATTGTGAGATCCTGCAATAAAGTGCCTTGGCTCTGGCCATATGTATCTTGGCAGATAAACTAGCAATAGAAGCCAAATTGGCTGATCAGCACCATTTAACTGTTAAAAGTATTAAACGTGAAAAATAAGCAAAATTCAGAGGAAGAAGAGAATTGAACAGTTGTAGAATACTTAGATAGAGGTAGATGAATTTCACTGGAGTATAGGAAGTATAGGAAGAGCAAATTCAGTGAAAGGACAAGATGTCTCCAAAAAAGTGCCATCCCTTAAAATATTCAGAGATTTCTTTTTTGTTTCTGTTCAAAGTCAACTGGCACTTTTCCTGGTATGGTAGCCTTTCAGTAACTTTTCTGAGAGAAGAAGATCTAGCTGTAGCAATTGTCTTAATTCCCTCTTATTTAGATTCTTGTAACAGACTCTAAGACTACCTTTCAGAAGCAACTAGAAACTACAATTAATGCAGCACCTAAGTTTTTGAAATAATTATGTCTTTTCACTTGCAATGTGCAGCAAATGCCTCTCATGTCTCTGGGAGCTGTTCAGTGGGGATGTATCATGTTAAAGTTGAAATATGTACTTAGTTACTTTACTTAAATAATGAAGGTTTCTATGTTACATAGAGTGTTAAACTAAACCTAGCAATCTTAATTCCAGTCTTTTGTTTCATGATAGTCTCTAGTTGACCTCAGGCTATTTTTTTTTCTCTCCAACATCAAAATAGTTTTGTGGCAAAGATAGATAAGTAGATAAGTAGACAACAAAGGTATGTTAATAAGGAAACAATCAGAGAAAAGTAACAGGAATGCATTATTCTTGGAGGTATGATGGAGAAAAAAATATCTTAATATCACTATTGTCAGATGTTTCCAGCATGGGGGTGAGACAATAAGGAAATGAATCAAATATCATTTTTATAGTCACTTTAATTAAAAATCAAACCTTCGAAAGAAAGAAATGGAAACACCAAAAATAAGTTTCTTACTGTAATTCCTTCTTATGGGTTTATTTATTTATTCCCAGTTTACAGTGTTGAGCCTTACTATATGTACAAATGGTCCTCAACTTACGACCATAAATGAGCCAGGAATTATGCTCATAAGTCATGATGAGCGGGTTACCATGTTTTACAACTGCTTTTCTGGCAGTCAATAAGTAAATGCCACAGTCAATAAGCAAACACTCTGGTCATTAAGAAAACACCATGGTCATGCAACAAAATCTGTTTAATTGGTGTTTTTTTGCCAGAAATTGGAGATAAACACTGGAAACTAGAAAAAAACTGCCAAAAATTTTGGTCATGTGACTGGGAGATGATACAAATGGTTGCAAATGGGAACTGATTGCCAAGTGCCCAAAATGCGATCACATGGCTACAGGACGTGTGTGTTGCCATTGGAACTTTGAAAATGGGTTGTAAGTAACTTTGGGGAAGTCTATTGTAATTTTGAACACTCATTAAGCAACTGGTCATTAAGCAAGGGCTACTTGTATCCTTCCCTCAATAGCTTTATGTAACGTTGGAATATTATTGAGAATGTTGAGGCCCAGGTAACTGATCTGCAAAAGGAGATTAGAAACAAGTATTAGAATCAGGGATTAGAGCAGAGCTTCCTTAAACTGGCAGCTCCAAGAACTTTTGAGGCTTATAATAAGATACTTCATTCCCATAACTTCTAGTAGTATGGCTTCAGACTGAAAAGACAGGCAATTTTTGGTCTTTCCAATTTGATGGAAACTTATGACATGAATTATGATGGCAGCGATGAAGATGTATATTTCTTCACATCACTCCACCAGAAATGAGAAGGAACTGTAGATTTGAGGATGGGAAATTTGCTGGTGAAATATCTCAAGTCAGTGCTGTTTACTTAACATGTTTGAAGAAAAGCTATTGCAAAGATCTGATTCTTTGTTCCTGTGAGCGATTTCTTCTTACTGAAAAGGACCCAGTTTTGACCCAGCTCAGCAAAATGCTGCATTTTACCAAGACAATTTGCCTGATTTTGCCAATGAAGGGGAATATATAACATGGGATATCCATAACACCATTCCAGTCATTTGATTTTGTATCACTATGAGTCCTTGTACATAATTCATGATTCAGATAATCCTCATTGCTATCTGGCACTTGCTCTAAGTCATTTTATATGCCATGTTAATCTTATTTGGCAATCTCCTTCCAGGTTTTGGCAAAGATAATAGCTACATGGACTGGCCTTACTCAATTTTGTAGGTCTCACATACACTGAATCACTGCTGTCATTTATCCTTGCATCCATCTGCAAGTGGACTGTTATTCCAATCATATAGGAATAGTCCATCACGTAACATAGAGTATTTGCCCAATATTTTATGGCTTGGCATTGTTCAAATGATCTGTTTTTGCTGTTCTCACTTTCATAGCAAATTTGCCATTAACGCAAACTGGTCCTGACCTCCGGAAGGATTCTAACTATTAAGGGAAAATGTTTTTCTTCCATGGGGCTGAACTAGCTGTTCTTGTTTCTATTGTTCTATGAACAATAGAGGTCTCTTAAATGAATTCAGTTGAGGAGAGGGAAGCAGGCAGGGAGAGAATGCTCCATACCTTGAAATAATTCTGTGAGCCAACAAAAATCAGGAAATGTGGAATTACAGCTCTCTTAAGTCACAGACAGAAAAAAAAACAATCTCAGGGCAATCACCCATTAATTATGAATGTTCTAGCAGTCACCATCAATCAGATGGGAGGGAAAAGACAGCTTCAATTAGCATTACTTAATTATTTTCAGATACAGCTTCTACTCTGCCAATGCACAAAATAGGCTTAGCACAATCAGTGTGCATTTAACAAAATCATTTTGTATTGTGGCAGAAGGCTAGGGGTGGGGAAGTATGTTTTTATCTATCTGAATGCAACAATGCAAAGTATTAGTGATGAAGTGTCATCAGGAAGTTTCTGAGATCCATGTCTGATCTTTAGACAATGCCTGTCCAGATAGAGTACACAACTTAGTTGTACTCTTTAAATATAAGCCGTTGTGTTTAATGTAGAATGCAGAGTTATTTTCATTGCTGGTACCAAAATTGCTAGGATCTGTGGTCCTGGCCTGCCACCTGCTGGCAGAGTGAAAAACAGCATTTTGTTTCTTCAGTTGGCAGAAAAGTACTTTTAGTTTAAAATGCATGATGTGATTTAAGTGAGAGAAAAAAACCTATGGGCGAAGGTTTTCTAAAAAATATGTCATATTTGGGTTGAATTTTACAGCTTGTCATTTGGAGAGCCAAGCATGTTAATCATAATGGCTATAATGCATCTCGTCTATTGATCAGCTGAAGCTCAGGTGTATTTTTTTGCACTACACATATGCCCGTCTTATGCCATAGAGATGTGGAAGACCATGAGAGGGCTTTTGCACAGCTCCATTTCATGTGCCAGTTCACCCTTTCTTGGATCCGCTAGTCCTCCAGCCAGGTACTCACTCCCTGTCACTTTGCAGCTTGACTATCACTGCTCTGCATGTGTAATGATTGCCAGTATGCTTCCAGGTATGATTCAAGATGCTGATTGTAACCTATAAGCCTTACATGGCATGGAGCCTGGTTATCCAAGAAACCACCAAACTCTGTTACCTGCCTAGCTGATAAGAGCTAACCAAGTGGATATGCTTCAGATCTCCTTGTTTGAATAGTGTCATCTTTTGGCAATCAGAAAGTATATCCTCTGGAATGAGTTCCCTCCTGAGATCTGTATGGTCCCTGCCCTGATGACGTTCTTAAAAGACCAGACAATTTATTCAGGTCTTGGGATAGCATGAATGGAACTATCCTCTTTGTGATATTTTACGTCTGCTTTGTGGTTAGATAGCTTTCTGGTTTCTTGGTTTGTTTTGTAGTTATTTTTGCATTGTTTTGACTAAAGTTTATATTCAACCATTTTTATAATGCTTATGCTGTTAGCTGTCCCAAGCTACCGGTAGTTGGAATTGGATAACATCCAAATTGAATTAAATAAATTAAAAATGCGTTGCTATCTTACACCATCTGTTCTAGTGGAACCTGTTCCTTTTTTTAACTCTTTATAAAATGTAGCAAAAGAAACTTCATAAAGGACAACTTTTTGAATATTCTTGCCAGTAGAATCCACAGTTGCAAAACAATTTTGCTTCAACACACCAATTTAAAGGCAGGAAAGCTGTGCTTCTTTGTATGTTATACTACCTGTGCCCTTCCTCTTAGTATATGTTGGAAAAAGGTGATGCTATATACACAAGTAACAACAAAGAGTTTTCTGAGGAAAAACTGGATCAGCCTCTTTCAGTGGAAGAACTAATATACAACCTATACAATGGAAATAGTACAACATAGGTCTGCTGGCTAACTGTCCTTTTTCTTTTCTGTTGCTTTCTAGCTGCCTGTCCCCATTGCAGTATTCTTTTTGCTGTACAAGGAAAGGCTTGTGCCATGTTGTCCCACTGGCAGTCCTCCACTGTTACCTGCAGATGAATTGGCAATGGAAACACGGATAACTGACAAAGATGACTCTTCTACTTCCTCATCAAAAATCCAACTAGAAATAGGTGAGAGCGATTATTCCAGTATTGGTGTACTTTACTTCCATTATCTTGGCAAAACCAAGAGAGCATAATGTGCTGCTCTATGAAGGTCTGGAGCTTATACATAATGTTAAACCAGATTTATTAAATCATGGTTTATTGTATCAGCCTGAATTGGCCACAGTTCTTATAACAGAATCAGCCAAAACTGAACAAATCATATAACAGCTGTGTTCACACAATACATGGAATCAAATTAATTACACATACTTTCTCTTAGGATGTTGTTCAGGCACATCTGTTATGTCTTCTTCAATGAGTAGTATGAACTAGAAAATTGGGTTAATTGAATACATTATATTAAGATAAGCATAAAATAACATGTTATATAAAGATAGCCTTTGGCTTATTGTGGCAACCATAGTATGTTGATTTCCAGTGGAAAAATCTCCATATTAAGTTGTTGACATGAATTTTCAATAAATACCTCAAATTCCAAAATAGTCTTTATTCTTCTTCTGAAATGGACATGGACATCAGAATTACTGAAGGTTGTTAATGAGGCAGATTTCAAAAAAAAAAAACACAAACAAATCCAGCAAAAGTGTTCTGAATTGCAAATTACATAATTCCCTTTTCACCATAAAATGTATAGTTCCTCTGTATAGTTCTAAGCTGATTTCTAGAATTATAATATGTATCAAGAGGAAGTCAAAGTAATCCAAACTGGTTAATACCAGAATATGGTTAAGAAGTTTGTCTTTAATATCTGTTAATATTAACTCAGCAGATTATGAATTCCTGGGGCAGGTTCTTCAGTGTCGTTTACTTAGTTCATACTTAATATAATTGCAATAGATTGTCTTGTGGTCTGCATTTAGCACAGTCATTTGCATTTGTCCATAAAAAAACTTTTGTCAGTCAGAAATGAAGCCCCATATTCACTTTGGTCTCCTAATAAAGAAGCTATTTTTTTCTAGGCAAAAGTAACTATATCCCTGTGCTGCAATGAGTCTCATTAATAAAAAAAAGGCAATTATTTCACAGTGTATAGTCTGAAGATGAAAAGCAATCAATACATGCCTAGAAGGTTACTTCTAATAGGAAGCAATTTCTGTAAGGGTTCTAAAGCTATATTGCTTTATTTAGTTGATAGCTATGCAGCAACATCTATCAGCTTCCCCCATAAGAACTTTAGGAGTATGCACTCACATTTTATGGTGACTTTAAGTAGACCTCATTAAGCCATACAGTTAACTGCAATACCTGCCAATATGCCTTAGGCACATATGACAAATGAAGAAATGGTGACATTAGCCTGAGAAGCACAAACCATGGGTGCAAGACAGCTTTTAGAAGCAACATAAAATAATAAAGAGTCGTATTGGATCAAACAAACCGCTATTAACTGAATCACTGCTTCTTGGAAGGTTTCCAACAGAGCTACAATGCTCCTGAATTGATTCTACAGATTATTTTGTCACATGACGATACCTTTTGTTTCATTCAGATCTAATGCTTCACATCAGTATTTACATTTTAATGAGAACACATAGGATCTGAAAATCTTGGGGATTAAATGAAGGACTAGTGGCATATACTGTAGACTCCTTAATTGTTTCTCATCATTGCCTTTCCCAGTGGGCGACTTTCTTCAACTCTAGCAAAAAGTATCATTTGAATGAGTGGTGGAATGTTAGAACTGAGGAAGAAAGATCCAGCTATCTCCTCCAAGAAAAGTACACCCTTTGTACTATAACTAAGATGGTGAAAAAAGAGCTTCTCATTGGTTTCAGTTTTAACAAAAAAATAACATTTTTTCCTAGAAAGGCCAACTCCTTGACAAAGGAAGCCATATTTGAGTGCATGACACAGGAGAGGAGACACTCCTATGAGTCTCCATCTACTGCTGGCATGAGGCTCTGAGGGTTAATCATGAGAGAACACAACCTTCAGTGCAAAACATTTATCCATCTCTTAACTAGGAAAAGAATTTACATTATAGCAATAGCAATAGCACTTAGACTTATATACCGCTTTACAGTGCTTTACAGCCCTCTCTAAGCGGTTTACAGAGTCAGCATATTACCCCCGACAATCTGGGTCCTCATTTTACCGATCTCGGAAGGATGGAAGGCTGAGTCAACCTTGACCCAGTGAGAATCGAACTGCTGGCAGTTGGCAGAATTAGCCTGCAATACTGCGTTCTAACCATAGTTCTACCTTTAGTCTACCTTTCTCTTGCTGGTACTCTTCAGATAGAGTACATGGCTCCTTATCACAATCTATTGACTAATTTGACTAGGAATCATTAGCACTGTATCTAACGCACCTGGACATCTTTTGTAGATAAGGATTTTTTTCATTTTAAAATTTATATCTTTTTTGTATAATCTTATATCTTGATTAGTTCTTCCTTTGTAATAATTACAAATTTCAACAGAGTTTGGTGAGGGAAGAATGATATCATACACTTCTTTAATACAACATTATACTTTGAAACCAACAAACTATGAGACACAGAAATTATTACCCTTCTTTCTTTTTTTGAATATACTAGGAATAGACAACCAGAATTGTTTGGAATGGGCACCCAAAGAAATCAAAATTATAAATGCATAAATATAAAGTTATCAAAATGAGAGTTGTTTAAATCTTCAATGTGAGTTATGTTAAACTCATGTTCAGAAAGTGGCTGGCTATACTAATAATTTAATCAATATTTTTACATGGCATTGTTTTTTTTCCCCAAGGGCATGATGACTTCTTTGGATGCTGCCAAAGCAAGAATTTCAGAGGACTTCCTTGTTCTTACTTTGGTGTCCATGTGACTGGAGCTCTTCTCCTTTTTATGACAGATGGGATCCTGGTAAGGGCAAGTGACAAAGAAAACATCAGGCCCGCATCTATCCTACAAGAATAGCTTTCCCAGGTCTAATCAAGCTGCTTCAGAGATTGGGGCTTGCCCAGTTGGAGAATGGAAAATTGAGGGAGGCCCACAGAGATGCTGAGGAACTACATGTAGATAATTTATTTTTGTTTCAGGTGTGATCTCCGCAGCTGACTTAAAATGTTCACATGTTCCAAAATCCATAAATATTTAATCTGTTTCCTTTTTTTTCTCACAAGTTTGCTGATTGTTGGCTGTATGCTCTCTTGGTAAAATATTTTGGCTCCAAGCAAGGGCAGAACACTTTTTACCCAGCTACTTACATTTTTAAAAATGTGTATTTCTCCCCTCCTTTTATTTTGTTGCTGGCAACTAATACCTTATTCTAACAAGCACAAGCACAAGTTAAGTGATTGTGGGATTTTTTAAAAAAAAAATGTGTAATAGATTTTAAAATGACTTTTTAAATTCTATCCTTTGGTTTAAATGATTTTAATGCTTTTATACATTGTCTAGAGCAGGGCTTTTCAACCAGTGGTACAGGTACCACCTGTGGTACATTGGCACCTGGCAGGTGGTACGTGACCATCCTAGAAAAGTGGTAGCAGGGGAAGGGAATGAGATGAACCGGTCTAGAGCAGGAGTCCCCAACCTCTGGCAGGCAAGAATGTGCTCACACGCAAATCCTCACTTGCATGAACAGCATGCACGCTGACTATGCAAATAGAGCTGTGCATGCGTGCATGCTTGCTGGCCACTCTCAAGAAACCATCCCCTCTCTTTCCCCATTGGTCCACAAGGTCAGAAAGGTTGAGGAACTCTGGTATAGAGAACGGTAATTATATATTGTTAAAAATCATCTGAATGAATAAAAGATGAATGCTTAATACAAAAAGAGTGCAAATATAATGAAGCATGTTTTCATCTCTTCAGGGCGAATACTCTGGCTTTGTGTACAGCTATGCAGTAGAGGAGCCACTCTCGGTGGGACACAAGAGGGCTGGCAACCTGCCCAGTCTCTTCTGGGGGTTCATCACACTGGGCAGACTCATTTCCATCCCTGTCTCCTACAGAATGAAGCCAGCAACCATGGTTTTCATCAATGTGGTATGGCCAAATTTTATGCACCCAGAGAATAACAAACTTTGTGAATTTTTTGTGTTAATTGTCATGATATATAAGTAGAATGTATCTCAATACATCTGGAGGGTGTCATGTTGGGGAGTGCTGGGGATAGATTAATATACCTTTCCTTCAGGGACCCATATGAACTGTAGGTCTAATGTTAAATTTAGGATTTCCAACAAAGCAATCTTTTTATACATTTTTTTCAATTCCAGAAGTTCTTTTGGAGTTGCTATGCCATTAAAAAGTGCTGTAATTAATAGTATTATTATATTCTTTTCCTAAAAATATTTATATTTTAGACAAAATAAAACAAAACACTTTTCTTGTTCTAATTCAGTGTAATATATAGTGTAGATTAAGACAAAGTACAACTATAAAACAATCACTAATTATGATTCTGATCATTCAGATCCAGAAGTGTCTTTCAACAAATGATCCATTATTCATGGAAGAATGAAGGATCTCTCCTATAGAGGAAGGTTGCACTGTATGGAGACATTTTTATGAATTCTTCTGTAGCCATGTATCCTACCTTTCTTTCTGTGTGGCAGGTTCCATACTCTTTCCTAACTCTGAAAAATACTATTCTGAAGTAAATTAAGTAAAAACAAAACAATGGCATTAACCACGTATAGTATATGTTAAGAAAACTACACTACAGACAATACAGTAGCAAAACCCTGGAGTAAAATAGCAGCAACCACTCAAAAGGTTGGCTCCTATTTCGGTATGTTTATGGTTCTTTGCTGCAGGTGGCAAAGTATCAAAGCTGAAGTAAGAGAGCAATGAGAGGCCATGTTAAGTCAATCCGGGGCAACCCTTCTTTTTTTCCTGAACATTTCCTGCAGAATCTGAAATAGTATCAAGCAAAGATTCTTGGAACATTTTTGTCAGGCATGAAGAACTGGGACCATACATTAAACTCCAGTTAAGAAGATGTATTGATCAAGCCTATACACAAACATCTAATCAACTAATGGTCAGCATAATTTGGCACTAGATAAAGAGTTAATAGAATTCAAGGGGGAACATAATGATTCCAGATTGATTCCTCTCTTGACTCCTCCCCAGGCTCTGTCTCACCTTCTCTTACAATTTTAGATGCTGATTTCAGCATTTGTAGTGGTACTTATTATTTTCTTTGTGATGTATTTTTATAATTGCTGCTCCTTATTTCACAGATGAGTTTGACTATCTTGATTTTTCCACTTTCCCATTTAATGTCATTGCAGGTTGGAGTGCTTATAACCTTCTTCCTGCTCCTAATTTTTTCTACCAGTGTGGTTTTTCTCTTTGTGGGGACTGCCTCTCTTGGCCTCTTCCTCAGCAGCACATTCCCCAGTGTGCTGGCCTACACTGAGGACATTCTCCAGTACAAAGGTAAAGTCTCTCCCTGTGTTTTCTTTTGCTAGAAAATTAGTAGTTGGAGAATGCCAGTTTAGGAAAGCAGGTGGTAGGACCCGTGGCAGGAGCCCATTAATGACTTACTATCTTCTAGAGTCACCATCATTCTGCCAAAACAGCCGAAAGGAAGATTGATTTACATTGGCTCAGATCTTGCTGAGTAATGCTAAATTAGTCAGTAAATGGGGATTCTGCCTATCTCACTCTCACAGAAATAAACTCCTGATATTCTGCCAGCCTTTCTAAGAGAGAATGCTTTGAAACGATTTATTTTGTTTGTCATACCTTATTTCTTCCATTCTGGGTATTATTTGCCTTGCCCTAGATTTGATACGCATATTGTTAAATACTATACAATATTGTACAGTATATACAATGTAATATTATTGTATAAAATAATGTAATATATTAGTGAAGTTGAATTCAACTCCTGATGATTTCATTGACATGTCCATGTCATTTTCTTGGAAACCAAATGGAAGTAGTTTCTTGTTCCTTCCTCTGGGATGTTTTTTCAACTTCCCAGTCTTCTCCACTGCCTGATATTTTGTAATCATTCCCATCAAAATACAACTAGGACCACACCTCCTTAAGTTTTTTTTTTTTAAAATCAGCCAAGGTTAGCTAGATGCTGCCACATTATTGGATAAATGCTGAAAGTGAAAGGACACAAAACAAGTCTCAAGGGATTAATTTTTTTCTTCAGAGTGAATAAACCACAAATCCTCATGTCTTTTTCTTCCTTATTTGCTTTGAGGGGAGCACATTAACACTGAATGTTTATCTTGTACCTTGGCACAAGACAGGTGGCATTTTTGACAAGTCATTTATATTACAGATTAATTTTTACCATTTACATCTGAATGTCCCAGCCGTACATTACAGTCTTATATTATCTGCATAATTAAAACAGATACCAACTTTTTAATTCCAGGCTGTGCCACTACTGTATTGGTGACAGGAGCAGGAATTGGAGAGATGGTTCTGCAGTTGCTGGTAGGGTCGGTAAGTATATTAGATATCAAAATGACACCCTACTGGGTGTAAATTAACATCTAACTGCCTCCCAGGAAATAAAGAGAAAATTTCAACCATTGAAGAGGAAATTGAAATTTTATACCAAGACTGCTAGTTCAGCTAACTTAGTAGTGTCTGGACCAACTGAATTTCAGAAAAGGTATCTGAAAAGCCTTACATGGAGATGCCCCATGTGAGTCTTTTATATAAATAAAATGCTGAAACTATACATGGGACTTGGGGCACACAAGCATATTCTGGACCACTAATGTGTCCTCTAGCACATAGTCCCCGGTCTGTGGACTGGTACTGGGCTGTGGCATACCAGCAACTGGGCTGCGCAAACAAAACCAGAGGAGGTGTGATTTCGTGTGCTGCCTGCATCCAGCGGATGGGGCTTCACTTGTTTGTGCAGCCCAGTTGCTGGTATGCCACAGCCCGGTGCTAGTCCACGGACCGGGGGTTGGAGACCCCTGCTCTAGCATAGGTAGCAATTTGTAGAGAAGGGATGCAAAGAAAGCTAGCAAAATTCTGCAAGACATATTTCTAACATATGGAAAGACTGGCCAGTAGTAATCATATGTTGCAAAGTGTGCACATTTCCACTGAACTGTGATCTGCTAATAGATTGAAACTTAAAGATACTCTGATGTTTAAACTAAAGAAATGGAAAAAACATTTCTTCATGTAATCATGTTGCTTCTGAGCTTTTGGCACTTCTTGAACTGCAAGTCTTCCCATGCACACACAAACACACTAATGTTCAGCAGGTAGAAACCCTGGGGAAGCAGATGGCATTTGCTACTTTCCTGAAGGTCAGATAGTCTGGCACAAACTTCTTCAGTAGGGAAATGAAGTCTGCATAACCTCAGTCAACAGTGCTGGAGCACTTTAACGTTATTCTTCCTGCCAGACAATAGATTGTGCTCATTAGTTTTTAAGACAGTATCCAAAGCTTGAAAACCTAAAACACCTTGTTTTCTTTCTGTCAGATCATTCATGATCAAGGAAGCTATAGTTTCCTGGTGTGTGGAACCATCTTTGGAGCTTTGGCCTTTACTTTCTACATCTTCCTTCTATTTTTCCACAGGATTCACCCTCAGTCCCAATCAGGTGAGACTGCCAGCTTGTTCCCCCAACCAGCAGCAGCACTTCTGAAAAGAAAGGAAGGCAGGCCAGGTGGAAGAGGGTGTATGTTTCTGCAGAACAGTCAGGGAAAACTCTGAATTTTATAAAAATTCATGGAAGCATTTATTTTACAGCTGCTTCCTTTCCCCCTTTCCTGCGTGGACTGGACTGAATGCCCAAGCAACCACATATCCCTTTACCTTCCTTATTCTTGGACAAGGAGACCATGGAAAATGAAGCCAAGAAAATGGGTGGAAAAAAGTCTATAAACACTAAATAAATAATCAGTAGTTAGTTTTCTTTATTGTGTTTAGAGATTAAAACCTCCGGCAAAGTACATTTTCAAATAACAGTTGATACCATTTCCATTGAAGAATTAATTAAGCATGGAAATAAGGAATCTGATATTACGCATCAAGGAAAAGGAACCTGTGGCCTTCCATTCCCAGGCTGCACAATCCAGTATGGCCTACCTTGAAGGATTAATAGTCCAGCATCCTACAGAAAGGCAGAATTTCCCATAGAATCTTCTATTAAATGCTGTCAGAATTATTTTTAATTATTAGTATTATGATCAAGATGAGTTACGTGCAGTTTTTCAAGCCAACAAATACAGAAATGAATCCTGCTACTGCTGTGCACTTTAGTGAGGAGGTTTACCTTGGTAGTCATGAATCCATGTAAACTGTCCCATTTACAAGTCAGTTGTATGCAAGACTTGGTTCTACTTCATGAGATATCCTGAGTACTAGTACATACCGTATATTCCGGCGTATAAGACGACTTTTGAGAGCGATGAAACAGCCTCCGAACTCGGGGGTCGTCTTATACGCCGAGTCATAACGTTTATTTATTTATTTATTATTTCCGGCGTATAAGATGACGTTCTAGGCATGCGACTCGGTGTCGATCATCTTATACGCCGGAAATGACGTCATTTCCGGCGTATAAGATGATCGACACCGAGTCGCATGCCTAGAAAGTCATCTTATACGCCGGAAATAACGTTATAAACTACGTTTATTTCCGGCGTATAAGATGACTTTCTAGGCATGCGACTCGGTGTCGATCATCTTATATGCCGGAAATGACGTTATTTCCAGCGTATAAGATGATCGACACCGAGTCGCATGCCTAGAAAGTCATCTTATACGCCGGAAATGACGTCATTTCCGGCGTATAAGATGATCGACGCTGAGTCGCATGCCTAGAAAGTCGTCTTATATGCGACTCGGCGTCGATCGTCTTGCGACCCGGCGTCGAACTCGGGGGTCGTCTTATACGCCGGGTCGCCTAATACGCCGGCATATACGGTATATAAAGGAGTAATGTATGTATGAATTGGAGAATACACATTTTGGAGAATAGCACTTGCCAAAATTGATGTCTAGAAGTACAAGTCTTCATCCACATTCATTGCATGTTGTAAGCCAGTACTAATATTACTTCATAAAGCAAGTAGGGGGAGAAAGTATGTGGTATTTTAATGATTTTTTAAAAAACAGCCAGTGAAGGACATTTGACATTTTATTTTAAACGACAGCTTCAAAATCTTGTTTTGTAGATATGGATGTATCACCTGACAAGCAGCCAGCAGTAGGCGAACATGGACTTTATCAGAGCTAAATAAAACAGCAAGTTCTTACCTGGATCAAGCACATGGTCATTTCAGCTGAAAAATTTGTTATCAAAGCCTGATTTGAAACTACCTGATTTTTCTACAACTGAACTCGATTACAGTTCATTCCCATTTATGGTTAGAAGGGAATGGTCAGAACAACAAAGACCAAGGGACAATCTGCAGAATCCTAAAGAGGCCAAATTTTTGATATATGATCAATTAAAGTCCATTCAAAAGCACAGCTGAAGAAAAATGTACTACTATCATTTTACAAACCTTGCTGACAGGAAACAGGGAGTGGGGATAGGGATATACTAGTATTTTATATGTAGGAAGTTTTGGAAAGCACCCTTCTTAATTACGTATGCTGCAAACTCTTTGTTGCAGGAAAATTTTAAAAATCTCTACCCTTGGTAGTGTACATAGCCAGAATAAATATGTTGTTATGAAATTGCCACCCAGCTTGAAGTATTCAAGTTTTGTCTATCCCCAGATGGGATTTTACTATGTTCTGATGGTGAAAAGCCTTAGACACTGTAGATAGTATAGTATACAATTCAAGTAAAGGTGGATTAAGCTTGATTGAATCAGTATAAGCTGGCCTTTTAACATTAGCCTACTAAATGGTATAAGCCAGATGGGCTACTTTATTTGTCAGAAAAACCCAAGTCCTGAAGTATTAAAAAATTTAAAATACATGAATTCAAATGTTACGTCTCTTGCAATTGTGCAATATTGTATAATAGGTGCCTTCCAGGAAGAGAACTTGAGAAGTTCTAAATAAGTGGTGGCTATTCTCATGACCGGCTCAGATGAAGGTAATGGGATAGGTGGGAATTGCAAATACTGTGCCAGGGGTATACATCTGTATGTATATATGAAGGAATGTTAAATATGGTATTGTTGCATGAACTTGTGAAGTGACCAAGATGGAACTCAGCAACATTACTTAAGCTATTTTTTCTAAGAGGCTTGTTGCACTTCTCATTTCAAAATTGTATATACTAAATTTGTATTGCAATGTGGCTTTCAGATTGCTATGTTGCATGGGTATGCACCCTCATCTTTGATTTCCATGTTGTTTAAACCTTAAAATATACTGTCCTTATTACAGAGCACGTGTACTCAAGTTTATATATTCAGATGAGTGTAAACTTTTCTAATTGCCCATTTCTAGATTTTTAGATTTCTAGACCAGAAGGTCAATATTAGCATCAATTTCATGTGTGAAAATTCTGGCATTATGCAAAGCTGAAGCTGATGAAGATAGAAGCTTCTGCTGCTATAAAAGAAAGGTCTCCATACCGTATTATCTGCAAGCTATTTTAATATGTGAGAGTGAAAAAAATAATTATACAGGTAATATATTAAAATTAAGAATAAATTTAAATTTGCCCACCTACTTGCTGGAGTGCAGCATCCAATCTATCACTTAATAGCCAAATATAGCTCATACCAAAATACAAATGAGGATTGAAAATTTTAACCTTCAATCATGTTGTTTGCTTGATTTGCATTTATAAATGTTTATTTTGATTGTATTTATAAATCAGTTTATTTTGATTGCAGTTTGAATTCAGAGTTTGTGGTTTGTAAGAGATGGTTTAGTATGTCATATAAATGCAGCCAATTGTGATTTATTCTATAATCCACATTAAGCAAAGTATGGATCAACATATTGTGTGAACTCAGTCTGAGTAAAACAATCTGCAACAAAAATGTTTTTTGTAGATGCAGCCTAAGACAAAAAAAATGTGAAAAAACTGTTACATTATTAACAATCTTTGCTTTGGAGAGTCTTTTATCAATTGATTCAACTCATAAAAGACGCTATTACTACGTAAAACGTGCTGCATTTCAAAACAATGTTGCATCTGGAAAACAGGTGTTCCAAATTTGAGGAAGTATCATTCAAAATGCTTTGCAGGTCCCTAAGAGACATTTAGCAAGTAATATTCTTCAAATTGCTTAACAGAGTTATTTCAAAGTCTGTAGTATAGGAGGTCCAGAATTAGGCTCTTGTTATCTTTAAAATTATAAACTTTAACTAGCAAGCCTGCATCAAACTGTCCATTCTGCATCTAGATTATCAACCTGAAAACCTGAGTTATTGCTTTATTTATTCTTTTTTCTAGACTGCTCAATGGCCAAAGCTCTCTGGATACTAAAAATATAATTTGAATAAAACTATATAAATAAAATCAAATAACAAAAAAACAAAAACACCAAAGCTGTACAAAGATAATTCAAAAAATGGAATTAAAAAACAAAGAGCCTTGGAAAACAAAAATGTCTTCACCTGGAACCAGAATGATGTATATATGGATGCCAGTCAAGCCTTCTTGGGAGAAGATCCATAAATTGGTATCCACCACAGAAAAAGTTCTCCCTCTTGTAAAGGCCCATTGGAGGAGACCTAGAGAGCCTCATGAGAGGACTTTAAGGCCTGGTATACATATGAGAGATAACCCGAAGTGCAAGACACCCATTAGGACAGGCAGGGTACCATTTGGCTGGACAGACCTGCCACCCATAAATAGGATTTCTGTCTTCTCTATACTAAGTCTCAGTTTATTGGCCCTCACCTAGTCCATTACTTGCCCTACCGCTAATTCAGAACACCAAGCACCTCACCTAGTTAGACGAAAAGGAGGTGGAGCTGAGTGTCATCTGCTTATTGATGACTGATATATCCTCAGCTGACACCTTCTCCCAACAGTCACATGTAGATCAGTGTTTCTCAACCTCAGCAACTTTAACATGTGTGGACTTCAACTCCCAGAATTCCCCAGCCAGCAGACGTTTAAATCCATACATCTTAAAATTGCTCGCATTGAGAACCACTGATGTAGATATTAAAAAGCATAACTGAGCTCTGAGAGATTCAAAGGTCCAACTGCCATGAGGCAGAAATCATCCATTAATTATTAATATTAATGCATTTAATAAATCCCACAGCATGTCCTTCTGAAAATGGCCAAATAAAGTGGAATCATTCTAGTACAGCGTGCATCCCAACTTTGACAATTTATCTAGGAGAATATCACAGTCAGTGGTATTGAAAGCCACTGAGATGCCTAAGAGGAACATAATATGGTCATAATCCCTATGTTGTGTTCCCAAGTCATCCTACAGGGTGGCTTTCTTTTCCATAACCTGAAACCAGACTGAAACGGATCTAAAATAAATCAGTTTCACCTCCAAAAGTCAGGAATTGATACCACCTGGTGAAGCACTTTGCCACATTGACAAAGAAGCAAACTGCTGCACATACTGCAATCTACAATGAGAACTCAGCACCTGAATGACTTTCTTCCATTTGTGAGGCTGTGAAATAAATATGAAGCCTGCTAAAACTGAGATATGATTTATGAAAAGGAAACACTGCACTGATTGGCTATTAGAAACACAGGAAGGAAGGGATTTTGATTCAGTCACTTTAAAAGCAAGGTATATAAGTAGCACGAAATAATCCTAACCTAGTGAAAGGGGACTATATTCAGCCCTTGGTGCTAGATCACTTCACACTGCAATCTAAAAGGAAACTTCAAAAAACACAATCACCTTGCTTGATTGCTTATTGCTTCTTTGTTGTCCTTCATCAAGACCTTCAGAGCCAGCTCTAAGAGGTATAGGAAAGGGGCTAGTTGTTTTTGAGTTTGGTGGTCAAATGCTTATCACTGCCACAGGGCATTCTTTGCACTTATTTCTCTGGTCTTATTTCTTCGATAGGGCAATCTTCACTATCCATAAAAAAATAATCACCTGCAAATATCTCTGAAAAGCTTATTACAAAGGGGTTATTCTGTTCTTGCAAAGCAAGACTTTCAAACTGAATCCTAACACCACAGTAATATTTTAATGTGCAAAGTCTCAGATTTCAATAGGGTACTCTATGATGAACATGTCATTTAATCACATCCAAATGCAAGAACACTACCATAGAGGCAGGCTGTAAATTTGTACTATAACATATTAAATTTAGATAACAATTGGTTATATCACCTCTAGCAAAATATTTTTAAACATTAAATATATATTTTAAAATAAATTGTACAGTAGTGGCATAGTCTGTCTACAGTGGAAAAAAAATAATATTCCAACATAATTTTTTGTTAAAAATATTTATTTTAAAAAATACAATAGTTTTGTACGTTTTTTTGCACATACATATTGACATGATTTACTACAATGTTTAAAACAAACCCACATTATTAAACAAAGCAAATCCCTTTAGCAGTTCTTAAAGAAAATATTTAACACTTCCCCCAACTCTTGTAAAAAGAAAGATTGCTACAACTTTTTTCTTGCAAAAAGTTTAAGCAATAGGGGGAAAAAAAGACCTGATTTCTCAAGGAGCAACTTCATTATATTTGGATGCGCAGTAACTAATATATCATTTTTTAAAGCAACTAGGCCTCCAAACTGTGCTTGAAAAATGTAACCTTGTAAGCTCTGAATCAGATTTGGTTAATTAAAATTATTACTGAAGATATAGGTTTTTCTCTTTTTTTCTAAACACCTTAAGATTATGAAGGTCTCCCAAATGCCTTCTCTAGAGAAGTTTGTAATCAAGAAAATAACACTGAAAACGTACTTAGAACTTTGGCTATTCATGCAATTTTATTATATATTAACATTATTTTACAAAATGGCAATATACTAAATATATAAAACATATTAGGTTTTCATTTTAAAAAAAAGGAACAAGAAGCTACATTTCCCTAGATAAATTCACTTGACTCTTGTGGCAAAAGGCTGAATATCTGACAAATATTAAGAAATCCTTAATATTTCCAACCCAGTCCATAGATGTACCAACACAGATATTGCAGAACACTCACATCCCAAACCCATAAGAACTTACTTAAGAGCATAGGATGAGGGAAGAGAAGCTAGAACTGGTCTTTTATATCCTTTAAGGATCCCACAAAGACTACAGGAACCTGCAAAGGTTTTCCAACAGGCAATTACACTAAGAAAAAGCTCAAGGACCTGGGCTTACCCACTTTCATTCTTTAAGGACTAGCCATCATAGTGAGCTAGTGCCTCCAAAATTAAGATAATTCCATTTTTGTCTGCAATATATATGCTGGATAAAAACAGACATTATTCTGAGAAAGTAACCATTGAAATACAAAAGAACACAATCCAAATGCTAATCCATGTTGCTAAGTAAAATAGGAACTGCAGGAACATTAGCAATACCAGAGCAAACTGAGCAAAGTAGCTTTAATTGATACTGCTCACCATCAATGTAAACCAGAGATTCCATAGTAGCTTTCATGATTACCCATGCCTTGCAGAGAAGTCCACTATCTGCAGCTGCAGTGTATGTACTAGCTCAGTGATGGCGAACCTTTTAGAGAACAAGTGCCCAAACTGCAACCCAAAATCCACTTAGGTATCGTTGGGTGCCGAGTGGGTGTGGCCCATTGGCTGGATGTGGCCCATTGGCTGGGCGTGGTTGCGGTGGTAACGGCAGACTGGGTGGGACTGGGTGGGACTAAAAAGTTCAATTCCAACTTTGCAAGATCTTTTTTTTTCCGCGAGAAGTTGAAATTGACTGATTGATTTAACCTCTTTTTTTTTTGCACACAGCAGCGGAGGCCTAAAGCGAAAAGGTTTTATAAAACCCAGCTGAAGGCCTAGGACTGGGACAATGGCGCGCGTGCCCACAGAGAGGGCTCTGAGTGCCGCCTCTGGCACCCGTGCCATAGGTTCGCCACCATTGTACTAGCTTAATCAGCATTCTGGCAGAAGTATTTGTGAAGCACTAAAAGCATTTCTTTAACAATATTTAATTGTGACAGCTTTCATTTCTAAAAAATGTTTGTTATATCAACATATACATCAAGGCTTAGTCTAATTTCTTCCACTCCACCACCACCTAGATTTCTTTTGTATATTCTTACAACTTGCATGAATATGTCAACTGTGAATATAGACGATATAAAAAAATATTCTCAAGACTACTATGTGTACATGTCATTTGGTAACTGCATTAAAAATACAAACACTGCATTGTTACATGGATTTAGAAGAAGAGGTTTTCCCATATAAGCTTTAGTATTTTTTATTCTAATATTTATAGTATTTAAAATTCTGTGCAGCTGAACAGAGAGAGAGACCAAATATCAACTATAGTTAAAGCAGTACCAAAGACAAAATATTGCAGCTTAAAGGATCTATTGGAAAACTTCGTTATTTTTTCCCTTCTAATTACTCACAGCATACTAAACGCAAATTTTATTTAAAGAAAAAAAAATAAAACCAGATATGAAGACAGTTTGAAAATAAATTTTCCAGTTATTAATGTAGTGTATAAGTAATATAAAAGAATTTGTTCTATATCAGACTTTAAAATGCTTTGAAATGGAATATAGTAAAATTAGGACAAGAAATCGGGACAAGGATAACTGAGTATTAATTGAGAACCACAATGAAATCTATTTATACTCCACATTTCTTTCAAGAGCTCAAAGCGGCATACTTAGTGAACCTGCCTCCCAATTCCTCCCCTCATGCTTATATTACCTTCAAGCTGTCTTTTTGGCCTTCCTAGTAGCATGTGACTGATCATGAACTAGTAAGATTTTTGGTGTGATCCACAGGGTTTTTTTTTTCTAGAAAGCTTTGTAAAAGGATTCCAGATTAATGCTCACACTGAAGAATGCACTAGCTATACAACTTTGGAAGTTTGTCATTACACAGAAATCTTATTTTGAGCCAATCCATTCAGATCTTTTTCAACAGAATGAAAATAAATGATGCTGAACCAATTTAGCTTTGATGGCATATACAGCTCTAACCAGTATAATCTGGACAGAATATTGAGCTCTTTTGAATGAATGATTGTTTATACTGTATGTGTTCACATATAAAAATGCAATAAAAGAGTAACTCTCTCTATATATGTAATGAATTATTTAGGAGACACAACATTTGTTTAAACACTGATTAAATAAAAATCAATGCATATCAATTCATGCTAACATAACATAATATTATAAAGATAAATATAGATTGTTGATTTCTCTAATCATCAGATAATAAAAATATGGCATTAAGAAAACTCAATAAAGTACCCAATATTTTTTAATCAGTAATCGTATCAAAGTAAGATACCATCTGACTAATGTGTATGTTAACATGATCTAGCAGCTGAAAGCATGAAAATGTTTATTATCTAACACAATTAAAGAAAACATACATGAAAAGCAAAATAAAATCTAGATCTGGTATCTGGAAATAAAAATCATCTGTAGTATCTGGGGTGTAAAATGGAGGTTAACCCTTTACTGTCTCTCTCTCTCAATCTGCATTTCCTCCATCCTCGATGGTTAGAGTTTATTAAATGGGTTTTTAGAAAATAGTAATGAAGTACCTAGGAGGTGAATAGCTGCAATAGGACAAAAATTATATTCAAAATGTAAGCATGTAAAATTAAAAAGAAAATAGTAGGTCAACCAGCCAGGAAATAGACCAGTATAAAATATCTGTCTAAATAAATGACAGACAAGTTAGCAATGGGGATTTTTTTTTATTACAGGGAAGCTTTTTGAGGTAATGTCACTATGTAATGCCTAAAGACTGTTATCTTCCATATCAAATATAGTGGCCACCTCCAGTTCTGGCTCCCAAAATGCATTCTTAAATAGAAAATAAGAGGAAAATTATTTATTAATGATGAAGCAAGGAGAAATTCAAAATTTCTCTCACATAAATTTCCGTAAAACCAAAGAACAGTTCTATTAACTCAGTAAAAATGGAAACCTATACCTGGATCTTGGTATAAGAGGGCCAGTGGTTTATAGCAGAGCATTTTTTCTGAGCCTATTAGACTAATGAAACTAGGATAAACAAAACTGTTTTCAGGATGATCTAAGTTCTGGTTCACTTGCAAATCTAAATACATGTATTATTAGCAGTTGCTTCTTGTACCATATAGGAAAGCACAATACTGAAAAAGGGAGACACACACCACCTCCTAAAGAAGGCAGAAGCTATTCAGGCCAATGTTTCTCAACCTTGGCAACTTTCAAATGTGTGAACTTCAACTCCAAGAATTTCCCAACCAGCACTGGCTGAGAAATTCTAGGAATTCATGTCCATATACTTAAAGTTGCCAAGTTTGAGGAACACTGATTTTAGGCCATCAAATCTTCTCTACAGTGCAGGAATTTTAGTAAAAGCACCCATGCAAATGGCTGCTCTAAGTCCATCAGTTATTTTTTTCCCTAAGATTCAGTTGGAATCTGCAGTCCTTTCTGTCGTCTGAGTGGCAAAGGAGATGAGCAGCAAATATTTTAACCACCATTACTCTCCAATGCTAGTTATAGCAAAATTTCATTTTTAAAACCTTTCCTATCTAATACATATGCTGTCAGCAGCCAGTCTAGAATGGCTGCCCTTAAATGCTGCTCTGAACTGGATACTGCCTGCTGTGCAACGTAAGAATGCAAGACATCTAGTTTTTAATTTATTTTTATTTATGTGTATTTGTATCCCGCCTTTTGAAGCTGAACCTCAAATGCTTTGGCCACCAAATGAGAAGAGAGGACTCTGATATTGGGAAAGATTGAAGGCAAAAGAAGAAGGGATCGGCAGAGGATGTGACAGTGTCATCAACGCAATGGGTGTGAGTTTGGGTGGAATCCAGGAGATAGTGGAGGACAGGGAGCCTGGCGTGTTGCCGTCCATGCAGTCCCCACAGCAACAAACCTCTGAAGTAAGTTGGAACAAAAGACAGTGACTGGCCCAAGGTCACTCAGCTGGCTTTCATGGATAAGGTGACACTCCTGCTTTCTAAATTTCTAACCTCTAAACCAAACTGGCTCTCTTTTGTTACCTGCCATCAATATTTTACATATCTATACTGAAAGAGATCCATATATGTTCAATTAGGTTCAACAAGAGACAGGATTGGGCCTTTCGAATCCCTGCCTGAACAAGGGAACCAATTACAGTTTAATGTAGACAAATCAGCAAGTCTCCTACTTTAGTCGGATACCTTGAGGCACTCTTGCATACTAACCAACTTATGAGGTCTGTTCAGAATGCCTGAATAAGTATATGAATAAAAACCCACAGGTTATTAGCCCTTTTCAAACCAAGCCCACCTCGATACAGAAAAAAGGATTAAAACGCTTTACTGATATCTACTTCAACTTTCTAATAAGCTATTGAAGCAACAAGATCTAAAGTGTTTTTTTTAAATATAATAGGGCCTGAATATAATTAATATGCAGAAAGAGTGAATCTTCTTGCAATTCAACTGAGAGACAACTACTATTAGTGATGTTAGATCTTTTACTTTCAATTTCTAGTCCCCCAAATAAGTCTCCCACTTTAGCAAGGCATCATTATGTTACCATATGTTTACAAAGAAGTCTCAACTACCATCATGCTGAAGTTGTTATCCAATGAATATCTTCCTACAAGATTAAGTACAGGCTAAAAAGACATTTTACTCCTTTCAAATTACAAACAGCATGTGCCACTTTTTCTTTCTCCCTCCAGTCTCAAACACTTAACTAGTCAGAGTACTTTCTAATAATGTCACATTTCTAATTTTAAAGGCTTGAACATTCAAAACTTCAATCCACTTATATTTAAAACACCTAGATATGTAGGAGGCCAAGAGAAGGTATGTCTCTTTCCTTCTTTGAGAGGGGAAAAGAATAAACAATAAATGTTCACTTCCCAAATGTCACACCTACGTACAACATTAACAAAAAGCAAGACAACAATAACCCACTGCATGTCAAATAAATGCTTATTAATCCAGTGCCACCACATATCCACTGCAAGGTTCTATAATTAACTCAACCTGCTAAATTGTTAATTATACAATAAGGGATTTGCTTTTGTTTTTCTTGACTTGGCTTATCAAATATTAACACCTTTAAATATTTTGGGAAGATCAAAGCAACTCAATCCATGATCTACGCATAACTAAATCATTCAAACATACAAAATACCATAGTATATGAGGGATGAACTGACATTTTTGCCAAAGAAAAAAGAGCTTTCTTACCCTTAGCAACCATTCTTAAAATTTTGCTCAATTCTCTTCTACACTACTGTAAGTTGCAATGCTAAAGCTTTTTAAGGTCATTGGAATTTACTGTAAAAAATAAATCTTTTTATTCACTTTCCAAATATTTCTTGGAATGCCAGCTTCCATGAATTAATATTTTGACATAAAAAAACAAAAAGCAAAGGAATGAATGGTTATCAGTAAAAAAAAAAAACCCCATCTGATATCAGTTGGCTGTTCTGTCTAAGACTTAATTATAATACAAAAGTGTTTTCTTTATTAAAAATAGACTTCTTCATTCAAAAGAAGCAGTACGGAACAGGGGGGAGAGAAACTCTAGAGAAGAATCTCCACAGTCAAGGCACTTCCTTATGAATTCTCCTATGTCTTAAAAGAGAATTTTGCAAAGGCATCTAAACTGAGAATAGCAAAAACCAAGTCACTTTAAATTGATTCTATGGAATTAAAAATTGTCTCTTAAAACCTGGATTGCACCATTTTTAATAAAATCTCTTCCTCTATTTAATCCAAGCTGTCCATTTTCAAAAGGTTGTACATTAAATCTTCTGTAAATCTGGGGAGAAGGGGCCAGGAGTGGAAGGCCCATCTATTCCCGACAGAGTAAATGGTCCATGAGTATTCAGCACTGATGGAAACTATAAAACAGAAACAGAAATTTAATGCTACAGTTGTCTATAAGGTAATTTCTGTATTTTCAATTAGCTTTTCCACTGGTTTGCTTTTGTTACCAACAAAACACCCACAGGCTTTAATTTCTTCAGCTTAAGACAAAGTAACAATTTCATATTCATTTTTCAAGAGGGAAGCTACCCAGCTATTTATTCATATGAAATGATTTCATCAAAATGGCTTCAAAAGAGAAGCGCCCAAGTTACCAAGTCATTTCTTCTAGCATGATACAGTAAAATCTTAAAATGCAGGGTGTCTTTATGGTTATTGATTTTCTTCTGCATTTTGATTATTTTTGCAGAAATATTGAATTCCCTTCAAATTCAAGCAAAAATGATGCAACCATTTTTAACTTTCCTCTTCTAATTCCATAATCAGGAGGATGGACTCATTTGCCTAAAACAATGTTTCTCAACCTCAACAATTTTAAGGTGTGTGGATGTCAACTCCCAAACCCCAGATAGCATGTCTGTTCCAAGAGTCTGATTCTAGGATAATGATGCTACCATATGGCTTCATGGGACTGATTACCAGGATAGGTGTGACCAAGATGCAGTACTGTATAATTTTATTGCATAGTAAGGCATCACACTATCTTATTTATTGACTAGAAGTTCTTTGGGCTTTACAAAATCCTCACAGGGATGATCAACCTATAAGGTTATTTTACCTTTTGTTCATGCTGTCCTTGTAGTTATTTCATGAACAGGGAAGTCTGCTATGGCAGCCATTTTCTTGACTATACCTCCTCTTAAAATTTCAAATGAGTCCCTGCCCCAAAGCAGAATGCTCATCCCTGATCAACATGGAGCCCCTGATACAGATAAGCACATTTATTTTGGGGGAAAACCTTAATAAGTGGAACAAAAGCACAAATAAGCTTAACAATCACACCTATTCCTATCCTCATAATATTTTCCACATTAAGAGGCCAACTTTCTTGTAACACTGAAAAATTAAGATCCTTATACTGTATGTGTGAAGATTAGAAAGCCCTACAGATTAAAAAGCCCTCAATGCAGAGTCAGAGTCACCATCTACATTTGGAGGATGAAGCTTTGGGTGAGATACATGCTCTGCCTCTTCCTTTTTGTTCTTCAAATTTAACAAGCTTTTAACAATTCTGAAGAAGTTAACACTGAACTCATAGGGTTCCACAGTGAAGATTAAATTAGTACTTGAATGGGGCATCAGCTGAAAATTCCAGAGGTGGTAGCAAGGTTAACTCAAAAAACAACTATTGAAAGGCAACAGTTATTCACTTTTGTTTTGCTGCCCTGGTCACAGTGATCAGAAGAGTGGGCTCAATTCAAGGCACCCTCAAGCTTTTGTTTTAACTGTCCTTTCACTCAGGTTGTAAACTAATTCATTTACTTATCATAGAATGTATTATTTTAGACTTCCTCAACCTTTAATTTACACAAATATTATTAAAACAACAACCGTCCCTGGGAATATAGGAGTTGGAGTCCCAATTTATCTGAAGGAACTAGGTTGTAGAGGACTGAATTATTTTGCTAAACTGCTAAGCTTAGCAGCTGCAAACAGATAGGAAATATGAGTGATTTAAAGGGAGCTTTGCTGCTAAACCTGTCAAATCTTCTAAGATCATCTCTGAATATAGCTGTCAACTGCAGTTCTTAATATAATAAATGGTTAAAATGTGATAAGTAATATGATTACTTGTAGTTAAATGAAAAGTAATTATCCTATTCTTGCTCACCCCTTTGTCACCTTCTTGACCTTTTTTGAAGTGCAGCCTTCTCCCAGAGCATAAAGGCCAAGTCTAGCCCTTGGCTTAAAGTTGCATAATCTTGCCCTAATGAAGAAAAGGGTTGACTCTTATGTGACTATTTAGGAAATATCTGCTACATTGACTTTGTTTGCTGACATGATCTGAAACTTACCTGAAAAAGAGAATTAGCACCTTGTAATCTTGCTGGACTGAGAGGAGCAACTGGACTGAGAGTACTCCAAAAATGGATACTGGAGAGCAAGGGGCTTGGTGTCAGTAAAATAGGTGTCTGTGGGACATACAGAACAATAGGATAAAACTAATCATTTGGAAATGCTCAATAAGTTCAAAATGACTAACAAGCATCTAATATCACTAAGGCAAGACATGTTTTAACATCACTAGTCTGGGATCAGACACCAATATGACAGTTAATAAAAGTAGAAAGTCGAAATAGTTCAACTTTCTATCCTTTATTAAGTGTCTAGTGTCTAGTCTAGGCACTAAGAATAATGGCACGCCACAAAAACTGGAAGACAATTTGGTTAACTATCTTCCTCTTCCAGATACAGCAAGAGAAGGAGATGAACAGAGATTTTCTCCATTTAAGTGTCAGATCCTAAACAGGTATGATGAGATGGAGGGGAAATCTAACAGCTTTAAATTACTTTATTTCCTGTCCAAGGAAACTTAATGGGACAAAAATTAAGCAGATAACCTATGTAACAAAATGTTCTGCACAAATAGTCATAAAACAGAGATAGAATTCACATTATTTTTTAATTACTTATAAGACAAGTGGTCATATTCTGATATGTTCACTGAATTCCATGAATCTAAAGCAGCAGCTCAAGTTTGTTACTACTTTTGTTTTCATTTTGATCAACTATTTTCTGGAACTTTACTGCTTGGTGGCGGGTTCATCCCTAATAAGTGGGTTGACATTATTCAAGGTTGCTGTTTTAGGATTTAATCCAAAGTATTTAATAATAGTTAACTCATTCTATTGCGTCACCTATTCTCCATCAACTCTCTATTCTTCATTACATTTCAAGTTGCTTATTCATTACTATCAATTTTTATATGTGCAGCAAAATTAACTATAGCTATAAGTACATCAGGGTTCTTGCTTAATTTAGAATACGAAACCATCTAGAAATAGATTTTTAAAATTTTACATTAAGTAAAATTATGCTGCACATAATGTTGCTGTAGTCATAATAATTAAATATGGTCTTTAACAGTTGAAGAAATTTCTCCTTAAAAGGGAGAGAAGGTAGCAACTCCTAATAGGTAAACATGATTAAATAGTGAAATGTTAGTATTTTTGTTTTTTTTTACTCTTCCATTCAATCGTGTCCAGTTTTCAGAGACTACCCGGTCAAGTGGTTTGAGAAATGGTTTACCATTACTTCCTTCCAAGGGCCGAGAGCAAGTGACTGGTCTAAAGTCATTTCATATCCAACGCAGGACTAGAATTCTGTCTCCCAGTTTCTAGCCAAACTGTCTCTTTTATCCTTACTAGCAATAATTATAAAATATCTAGGAAGCTTAGGTCTCTTAAGAAAAGTAAAATTTAAAAACCCACAACGTTCTGCATCAACTCCATCAAGCACAGACTAATAATATATACTAAACAGATTTTGTCAGTTTTCTGTTCAATGATAACCTTAGCTAGATAGCCAACCTCTTAAATTCCTACTTTTATTCCCAAACTTAAATATCCCCAGAATTAGCAGGCAAATTTCTATTCTATTACCAGTCCATGTACAGAATTTGGATCCCAAATAAAAGACAGAATTACCTGTGAAAAAAGTGCTGGTGTAAGAGAAGCAGTTGGTAGAGAAGGACTCAGTATTCCCAGTGGACTGGGGTCACTGCCAGTAATAACCAGAGTGGGAGTAATCTCCAGTCCTTTGGGCTTTCTAGTTCTGCTATGACGAAGATTCTTTTCAAACATGGAGGAACCCATCTCTTTAACCTCCAAGGCTTGATTCTGAGAGTGCTCCAACTGCTGACAAACTACAGACTCAGCTTCTGTGTCTATAACCAGATCAGAATTAGAACTTAGTGGTGGCAAAGGAGATTTGGGTGAAACCTGGAGACTAGGAGATGTGGAGGTTGTAGGAGACGTGGAATTAAAATTAGAGGTCAAGCTTGGCAAAGATGCTGAACTTTCGGTGGCTGCACCTTTAGATGCTGCTAGAGATTCCAAGGCCTGGAGGCTTTCATCTGAACCTGAAGATATGATAGAGGCAGCTGGGATAGTAGAGGTCAGTTGAGTAGCTGAGGCAAGGGGAGATATAGAAGGCCTTTTGGAGGACATGGTTACAAATTTTATGACTGAAGGTGTTGAATCCTGAGTAGTTCTTTTCTCTGTCAGCTTCTCAGCTGAATTCTCCATCTTAATTGGCTTAAACAGTTTTGTACAAGAGGAGGAATTAAGAGAGGTCAAAGTAAATGAAGAATATAGGCCTGAGTGGATATAATCATTGCGATTAGAGGATTTCGCATTGGCTTGATGCTTCTCTTTCCCATAAGTTTCAATGTCCTTTGTAGAGTTGCTACCATCAACAAAGCCAGCTTGTGCCTCAGCATCACCCTCAATCTTGCCAAGAACCAATGGATCCAGATTCAAAATCTCTGGGTAAGATACAAACTTGTAAACAAACTTTTGACCATTAACTTTTTTGATGATGTTCTGTGAAAACATCAAAAATAAAACAGAGATTAGGCACTCCCTCTTTGAATACTTGTCCCAAACAGAGTTCAGCTAATCAAGGAGGCAGTATGATTAACTAAAGATGAGAGAATTGTGACTGATTAAGCCCCACTTATCTCAATGAGCTATAGGATCCCTAAGTAGTTCTAATTCAAATTTATATCTTTCTTCACTTTTGTTTTGAAAGGGATTTGTGGATACACATCCATATACTAATCAGAACACGTACCCAACATCCATTTATCTAGAAGCATATAGCACTGGGGAAAACAAGAATGTATCTTCGTGTTTCACTGTGAGGCCAGCCACATGCCAACAAATCCATCAATAATAAAAAATTAATAATGAATTTAAAAACATAGCAAAGCTTTAAAAAAAGTTTGTTCATAATAAACATGGTTTCAGTCAACTGCATATTTTATTTCTTTGATTCAGAAGGCAATATAATATAAGCCAATTTTGATCTCAGACATAATACTTCCATCAATATCAATAATGCATTTTAGCATCAAGTATTAAAAGTTGATTGTACATAACATTTTCATGTAGCTGAAAGGAAATGTATATCTGAAATATTCAGAACGGTATAAACTGCAACCATTTCAAAGTGTCTAGAAAGTATTCAATGGCATTCATGTTATTCTATAGCAACATGTCAAGTGCTACAATCCACGTATCATAAAATTACAAGCAGCATTTAATAGTCAAGTCAACATTATTCCAGGTTAAATTCTAATAAGCACATCAGCTTAAGCTTTTCAGAACTGTTGTGATTCCTCGCCAGCCTGTGGATCCGGCAGCTGAGTCTGAGGAATCAGATGAGGAGGAGGGACCTGGAGGGACATTAGAATCAGAGGAAGGCTCTGAGGAGCTCCAAGACTTACAGTCGGACGAGGAGCCTGGCCCCTCTACTCACGCTCAGGCTGAGACACAGCTGTGCTGGGAGCCTGAGTTGGACAGTGATGAAGAACAGTTGGGAAACAGGATGCACGAAGGCGCAGGCAAGAGAAGTGAGTAGAACAGAGGAAGGCAATGGAGAGGCTCCAAAGGAAAAGGAAAAGGCATTAGGAAGCCACACCTTGGGCTGAATTATAAAAGAGAAGGTGTGGGAGATGCTAGTTGCCAAAGGCAACCCTTCGTATTGAGTATCAAGTTTCTGTGAACTGTGTTTGTTTGCCTTGGACATTGACTCAGTCTGTGAGAATAAAAGGGGTTGGTTTTTTCCTGCGGTTTCTGCCTGCTTGTTGGAAGAGGGGTTTCTCCTTGTGTGTATACCAAGGACTCTCGTAGGCTGGGACAGAACAAGAACATACTGAGAATTTTCCAGAAAACATGGGGGGGGGTAAATCATACTGTATGCATTTACATGTTCCATGGAAATTCTGCATAAAATATTATTTATATTTATTGTTAAAATAGCCTTTAACATATTTTAAAAATCTGAGAATGCAAATGAATAAATCAAAATGTCAAATAATGAGGTACATAAACTTATTTCAAAACAGAACAAGTGGTTAGGTAGAACAGTAGTACTGGTTGTTGCTAATTCGTGAAAGAAATATATTTACTCAGATGGGCAAGCAACTTTATCTGTTTCCAGTTTAGCTCAATAAACTCTCATGGCATTCCCATGCCATTGAAATCAGAGAGAGAAAAACACTAATTCTAGAGCCACTGGAATGCAATGAAAGTTAAACATCTGAGGCAAACAAAAGGCCAAGTTACCTTTACATAATAATATCTAAGTGCACGACTGAGTTTGTCATAGTTCATGCTGGGCTTGTTTTTACGGATTCCCCAAAGGCGGGCCACCTCTTCCGCTTGCAAAAGTTTGAATTCTCCATCATTTGAGGTCCAGCAGATAATCTCCTTATTCCGAGATTCCTGAAGAAGTTGCAAAAGGAACTGCCACAAGGTGATAGCACTGTCCATAGCAATGAACTGAAATTCAAAAGAGAGGAGATAAGGTTGTATCCAAGATCATGCATAATACTTTGGGAACAAATGCATCTCCAGTGGTGAGCAACCATTAGTGCTATCTGACAAAGGGAGGGGTTGCCCACAGAAAGTCAACTCAAATTCAGGGGACCCATATTTGCTATAAAATCTGCACTTCTTTTTTTTTTTTTTTAGCTTTCTTTGCTAAATCAGATCAATTGGGAGAAATCTAACTATAAAAAAAGGTTCATTTTAGATTTCTAGAAAATATGACAATGGAGACTGAAAATTTTCTTTCTCTATAATCTTTTTTCTAGAGAGGCACTATCTTACATTGAGAGTCATCTTCATTTCAGGTAAATGCAAAACATGAAATGGTTCAAATAACTTCTTCTTGGTTTTTCAAATTGATTTTTACATTAATTTCCCCAAAATTTCTATAACTAAATAATACAAGGAAGATCCCAGCGCTATTTAACAGCAGAATAGGAAGAGTCTCTTATAGATGAAATTATTGACATTATGGCCTTGTTATTCCTCCTTCTTTTGAGCACCACAAATATACCTTCTACAAAAATCCACATGTCTAATGAAGATCAGATCCCAGCAGCCCCAGCCAGTAAGGCCAACGATAAGGATTTCCAAAAGTTGTGAACCCAAACATCTGGAAGGCAGCAGGTATAAATGGATTTTCACTTTGGTACTCAATCCTCCAGGTTACAGACACAGTTGTGAATGAGGAATCAGGATCTAAAGACTAGTGACAAAATTACTGGAAGAAAAAAAATGAAGAAGTCTTAGCCAATTACTTTCCAAATAGCATAAATAATATACTTTGTTTGCAATTGTATTTAAAATTTATAGTCTAAGAAATAAATTGTTTAGATAATAATTCTGTTAATAGTTCTGTTCTGTTTAGATAGTAATTTTTTCTATAAGTACCAAGAAAAAAATTACGTTACCAATTCTAGAATATTACAAAGTGGTCCTTTTAGAAGACATATTGGAACATACTTGGCTCAAGAAAAGTACTTGCATAATGCTTAAGTAGGGCTCAGCATTTTCATTTAAAGTCTCTGCTGGAGAAATTGTCTCCTTCCTTGAGATACAATCTATCATTTTGTCTGTTTTTAACACTATAAATCTCTTCAAGTAAAGGAACTCAAGATACTTTCCAAGAAGATTTGTGACAATTGATGTCCACAGGCTGCCCAGTTAAGAAAACAGGCAGAAATGGAGGTCACCAGAAAACCAGATGTCTCTGACAAGTCTTATTACTTTTAGCATCCAGGAACACAGGTAGTTCTTTCTTATCAGTGGTGATTGGGAACTTTGTCACTCAGCAACACAGAGTTGTAAGGTGCAACTTGCCTAAATCACATGACTACGCCAAATAATAATAATAATAATAATAATAATAATAAAGTTGGAAGGGACCTTGGAGGTCATCGAGTCAAACCCCCTGCTCAAGCAGGAACCCTACACCATTTTGGACAAATGGCTGTCCAGTCTCTTCTTAAAAACTTCCAGTGTTGGAGCATTCACCGCTTCTGGACGCAGGTTGTTCCATTGGTTAATTGTTCTAATTATCAGGAAGTTTCTCCTTAGTTCTAGGTTGCTTCTCACCTTGATTAGTTTCCATCCGTTGCTTCTTGTCCTGCCCTCATGCGCTTTGGAGAATAGCTTGACTCCCTCTTCTTTGTGGCAGCCCCTGAGATATTGGAACACTGCTATCATGTCCCCCCTCGTCTTTCTCTTCATTAAACTAGACATACCCAATTCCAGCAACCATTCCAGTCCCCTAATCATCTTTGTTGCTCTTTTCTGTACTCTTTCTAGAGTCTCAGCATCTTTTTTACATTATGGTGACCAAAACTGGATGCAGTATTCCAAGTGTGGCCTTACCAAGGCATTGTAAAGTGGTATTAATACTTCACGTAATCTTGATTCTATCCTCTGTTAATGCAACCCAGCACTGTGTTGGCTTTTTTGGCAACTGCAGCACACTGCTGGCTCATATTTAAGTGATTGTCCAAGATCCCTCTCACAGTTACTACTATTGAGCAAGGTACCCCCTATACTATACCTGTACATTTGGTTTTTCTTGCCTAAATGTAGAACCTTACTTTTTTCACCATTGAATTTCATTTTGTTAGATAGTGCTCAATGTTCAAGTCTGTCCAGGTCCTCCTGTATCTTAAGCAGTCCCAGTTGCAGTCATTAGGTGAATCCCAGTGGTCACAATGGTCACAGATATCACAATTTGTGAACTCTTGCCAGCTTCCCCTTTGATTTTACTTGCTGGAAATGGATAGTGAAGATCACAAATGTCATCATATGACTGCAGAATGCTGCAACAAATTGTAAGTCAACTGCCAGTCATGATCATTTAATTACAGGAATGGTGTAATGGCTGCAACTACACCATAATGTTGAACAGTCACTGAATGAGTGGACAGGAAGGGAAGACTACCGGGTAGAAAATCGTATTTGCTTCCTAGTCCAACTCTGACTGAAATCAATACTAGTAGATCAAGAGTGAGAAGAAGCCTTCTGAAACCCTCTTTATCAGCAGTCTTAGGAGAGCACAATCAAAGTTATAAGGGACACAAAAGGGAAGCATTGTGTTCATTTGTATCCTGCTTTTCTACTGATAATAAAATTTTGCCAAGTGCCCAAAATGCAATCACGTGACTACGGGAGCGTTGCAGTCATAACTTCAAGAATGGGTCGAAGGTAACTTTTTTTTTGTCTGTCGTGTTTGTTAGTAAAGTTTGATGAAATATTAGGAATCAAGCAGAAAGATAAAACAGTTGCTTTTTAAGTGCCAGGACAGAATGGCTCAAGAGGTCACTACAGAAATCAAAAATCCTTCTCTGTATGGCTTAAAAGCTATAGCATAGATACTGTAATGTCCAAAAGTTCTTTCTCTTATTGTATGTTGCGGAACAGGCAATGCATAGTTATGATAGGCATATGATAGGCAAAGGAAGCCCCAGAAACTATGATGCACTTTTAGAGCACAATTTATTAAGATTAATGCAATGTGCTCTATATGGAGTCTCTTTGAAAAATGCCTAAGCCAATACCTAGCACAAAATACGATGGCCAGACATTTACAAAACTTCATTTTCAAAACCATTGCTTATCGATCTTGGAGTCTCCCCATATTGGTTCACGTTCATTTATCAAGCCATCAAAATCCTTTTCACACGTGCTGTTATCATCAATCCTATACACATGTCTGTGACTGTCTTACCCAATTACAGGAATTTGCATTTGTTCCTGCTGAAATTCATCTTGCTGATTTCTTGATCTTTCTTATCAAGATCCTTCAAACTTTGATATTAGCTTCTAAATGTTTGCAATCTGCCTGCATTTGTGTTGGATACAAATATTTTCTAATCACAGGGATAGAAAGGAGCCCTGCGGTACACTAATCAATACTTCTCTCCAGCTTGACAGAGTTTAAAATTAAGCTGTCTGAGAGCTACATCCTGCGACCTAAATTCCTTTTTGAGGGAATTAAAAGAATCTTGTTCAGCACTGGGCTTGAATTTTAGTGACGACATTGAACTGCCATTTTTGTTTCAGATTTTATCTTGATTGGGATTGAAATGTAATTTGTAAAGCATCTAAAATTTGGGAAAGGGGCAGTATGTAAATAATATCATAAATATATCCCATTATATATGGTACAGTATATTTAGAGATACTATATTAATAGACAGGTCCTTTTCTAATTAATTTTCCTGGGGCAGGAATTTTTTACACAAGCATCCTCTATCTAATACTTCATATGTGCAAGAAAGATGCTTCCATTTTAGTAACGTTTTTAATACTCTTTATTCCTATATAAACTGTACATCAATCATTATAATACAAAAAATTGTTTGTGACTGAATATTTTGGAGGTTATTTTTTTGTGTACCAGCTCACGTGAGTGTATTTAATAGACATACACACACACACACACACTAGATCCTATCACAAAAGAGTCACTATTTCCCATAAAGAACATCCCCCAAACCTGCAGAATTGGTAATATGTTAAGAGAGAAAAAAATCCAATTCCAACTATAGAATGCTTGATGTATATTTTTGCATATTTTAGTATACTGTCCCTTATCACTCAAATTCAAACTTGCAGTTCAAAATTGAAGCATTCCAGAAGACATTATCTGAGATGCACTCATAAGAGATTTGTACCTCTTAAGGCACTGGTGTCAAACTTGCCGTGTCATGTGACATGTCGTGATATATCGTGACTTTTTTTGCTTTGCCAGAGCTGGGATGGGCGCAGCCACGTATGATGCAACCAGCCTGTGGGCCGGCAGTTTGGCACCCCTGTCTTAAGGGATCTATTTCTATTGCTTCTAAAATCTTAAATAACAAGAAAACCACTTTCCTTTTTAAAATTGTTTTGTCCATTTAGCTTTGCAACTTGAGAACAAACTTCAATGACCTCCATCTATTACAAAAGTAAAAAAAAATGTTCTTCCCTATATGAGAAAATATAGGTAATCCTCAACTTATAACAGTTCATTTGGTGACTGTTCGAAGTTACAATGGCACAAGAAACTTCTGACTTTTTCATACAACTGTTGCAGCATCCCCTTCGTCACATGATCAAAAATTCAGCTGACTAAGCTGTCTCATATTTATGACAGTTGCAGTGTCCTGGAATCATGCGATCACCTTTTGTGACCTTCTGACAAGCAAATTCAATGGGGAAGCCAGATTCACTTAATAACCATGTTATTAATTTAATAACTGCAGTGATTCACTTAACAGCTGTGGCAAGAAAGGTCATAAATAGGCAAAATTCACTTAACAAATGTCTCTCTTAGCAACAGAAATTTTGGGCTCAATTGTGGCCGTAAGTCTGAAAATCTGCAAAAATCTCCTAAATACATACAAGATTGAAATTGAAGTTTACAAAATAATTCCATTTAAGCAACATCTAAAGCCAATTTGTGCATGCAATGCAATATTCGCCTACCTTCCAAGATCTCCAGAGGTTTTGGAATTTGCAGACCAACACACCCTGACTATTTTACATGTGCTAGCTGATTGTACTCTATGCACATTTTTGTATTTACTTTTCTTCTTGAGGCAGCAGAACACTGTACTGTTTCAGGCAACTTTGAAAACAACCTTCAGCTTCAGAGGTCATCTCTTACGAACCATGTTTGTCATAGTAAATATTAGTAGCTTTGCTAGCAGTAGTCCTAACTGAAGTACTTCAGCTACACTTCAGACTTTGGCAAGCATATAATGTTTTTTTCACTCTGGTTTTTTTAATCTTTTTTTAATTTGTAAGCCTGCAAAAATATCTAATATGTTTTTTCTGACAGCAGTCACAACAATGGTGCTACAAAGACTTAAGTAGAAAAAGTAATAACCTGGAAAACCAGACAAAGCAAACAGCACTTAAGATCTTAGCTAGCTTCCGCCAAGTTGGTGTTTTCTGTATTTGTTGTAGGTTTCCCAGACAGAATGGAAATAGCCTGTCATTTTATTCTCACAATAAAGTTTGAGTTCAGAAAACTGTCACAAAATTACTGAGTGAGCTTTCTGGTGGAATGATAAAATTCCAGTGTATACTTATGCACCAAGTTGCAGAAGACTAGGTGAATTATGTGGGAAATGGGATGAGCACCATCAGAGCACATCTTCTGACCCCAATTTTGTCTCAGTGAAGTAAAGAAAGTGCAAGCATATTGAAACTGAGGAATGCTAATTGAAATTTTCTTCTTGTGAGTGGCTCCTGCCATCTTGGTTGACTCAAGACAATCTGTCCTTGTTATGAGCAAAATATGTATACGTACATATTACACAAGTCTTATGATCTAATAAGCATTTCCACTGAAGAAATGAACGTTCACAGTAGAAAAAACAAGCCATGTTCAGTACAAATAACTATATCTAATAGTGATGAGGTTACCTAGTTTGGCTAATGAAACATCTGCAAAAAACAGCCATACTCAGAAAGCATCAAGGATCCCACAACTACTATATCCTTTCAGAAGCCAACATCCTTATTGAATTATAAGATTTCAGTGTTTTTGTAGCTGCTTTCATCCATGTTCCTGGCATATATACAGAAGCACACAAATACACAAGTGTCCTCATCCATATCACACCACAAAGGAAACCTTTAACATTTTCATATATATATAACACAGACTCTGAAACAGAATCTGTTCACCCACTGTATAAAAATTAACCATCAGAAATTTGTCTGCAGATCTATAGCAATATTAGACACACTGATAATGTGAAATACTTGAATACAGTGCAACACTTTCAGCTTTTGTCTTGTGAGACGAGATTCTCTGACAAATAAGATTTAATGAAAGGTTCTGCTTAAAGAACAGGTGCAAATACCAAAAGATGGTAATATGAGCATTTTCCTATTTGTATTTATACAAATTACATTTGCAGTTCCTACCAATCACCAAAAAGTTCTGCTGTGTTTGTCTATTCCATGTGTCATCCCTCTCTGCTAATATTTCGAATAGTGCAAAAACACGAAGCTAGCAACAAGCATACAGCCAGCCAAGAAGAATACAAGAGTTTTCAGTATAATAAGAGAGAAGATGGCTATCATATGCAGCAATGAAAGCTAAGAGTAATCAAGAAAAGAGAAAAATCTTTTGTCCAAAGCAAAAGTAAACAAACTGCTATAAAACTTGTCAGAGTAAAATTACAGGTGATCATAAATGAAGCATAAATCTTGAAAAAGAATATTATATTCTCAAAACTCTGGAGCAGGAAAGGAACAGTAGTAGGAAATAAATATCTGATGTGTTCCAGAAGAAAGAGATATTGGAATGAAAACTGTAGGAGCAAACAGAGAAATGCCTGGGATAGTCCTAAAAACTGGTTTCACATTCACAGTCAGGTTTGTTAGAGAAAACTATCAGTCCAGAATTTATCCTTTTTCCTAGTGATCATTTACTGGTAGAATGAGGTGGTTCATTTGATAGCAAAAACTGGGGCATTATCAACAAGGAATTAAACTTAACTTGTACAAGCAGAGATCATATATACAAAATAATTTCTAACATTACTGATAATTCATATAGAAAAGCTGAATTATGGCCTTGTCTTTAAAGAATTGCTTCTCATGTGATCATTACGAAAAAAGGAGACAACTTCTCCTTTCTTTACATAGCACGTGCATACATTATATATGACTACTCTAGATACTAAACTAAAAGCATCTGTCCCACATGATTTCTTGCCTTATGAAACATGCAACCAGTGCAAAATTTATGCCCATGTCCATAAATCCTACAGAAATTTCAAACCCAGCTTGCTTACCATGCATGGTCAGCATCAGGTATTTGTCATAAAGGCAATACCTAGAAGTGTATGAAGGAGAGCACAGTGGATTCCAGAAGAGCCATGACAACAGAATCTGAAGACTGCAGGTTGGTTAGGAAGATCCCAGCAAGTTTCAGAAGCCACATCTGAGGTCCTCAAAGCAGAAAAAGAAGGGAGTATTAAGGTTTACAGGCTGAGAATTAAGCCCTAAGAGTGGGAGGGAAATGTCAAAACATCAGTGGAGCCAATATAAACTTCTACCGTAGGTAGAGATTTGATATGTTTGGATCAGGAAGACATTTCCAAATCCTTACTGAGCCTAGTGGCTGTGTTCACATAGTATGGCTGTGTTTGCATATCATGACAAGCCAGAATTATGAGCCATACGGGACAACGGTTGCATGGGAATACTTCTTAGAAAACAATAAACCAGCTAACTATGATAAAGAACACAAGAGAGAGACCCATGTGTCTGCCGAGACAAGCTGGAGCACGTCAGAATTTTGCCTGCTCGTGAGTCGGAATCTGGAAGCACGGTGCGGGGAAGCAAGAGGACGAGGAGCCTCAGGCCCGGAACATCATCCAAGAGCAGCAGCTTAACCGCTTAATATGCGCTTAGTTTTAGGGAAGGGACTCTTGAGCATACGCAGAGGGTCTTTCTGTCAGCGCCACCGTTAAAGAAATTCCGCACAGATAGGAGAGTAGCGGTCAGGGCGCGCAGATCGCCCAACACACTTTGAGGGGTTCTGAGGCAGGGAGGCAGCAGCATCGGGAAAGGAGAGAAAAGGGTCCCAAGCCGACCCTGGACTCACCCAGGCGGACAGCCCCCCCGCGCCAAGCTGTTCCTGTGCAATGGCAGGTGCTGGAGCTGCTCCCTGCCGACTGCCCGCCTTTCATGGCCAGCCGCCTCCGCGGAGACTCGAAATCTGGCTCCCCATCTCTCTCCGTGGGCAAAACCGAAACAAGAAGCCGAGTGGCAAGAGCAGCTTAGCAGACCAGGCATTTACTCCGGAACACACAGGTTTTCCCAGGCCAATTACGGCCACCGTACTCCGCACTTCCGCCACTGCCCTGTGAAAGAGAGGAAAGAGCCCAATCGCGTCAATCTTAGTAACTTATTGGGCCAATGAAAGATTTCTTCCGCCTCCGGCCCGCAAGGCTTTCTGGTCATTGGAGTATTTTGTAACTGGGAGATTTGCTTTTATTAGCCAGTTAGAGAGCTAGAAAGTGAGAGTTATGAGGATTAGCGCTAGCATACTAGCTTATTACCAAGTCAAAACAAAACAGAGGTTTTCTTTAGATGAGCACGCTCATTTTGTTTGCCACATGCCTTGAGGCGTGGTTTATTTATTTTTAACAATCCATTATTGGTTTATTCTTATTAACATTATGACTTCCAACCCTGAAAGTGAAAAAACGATAGGGATAGGAGGCTAAGAATAAGAGGCTGCTGGTCTGAAATTCAGAGAATGTCGTTCCCCCCCCCCGCACTTTGCATTTCATATTGTGCGGACATAAAAGAACTGAGAAACTAGAACATTTCATGGTTAACACACCTTGAAAGTAGCTTATCCAGCAAAGTGACATAAAGTATACGTTCCAAGGATAGCTTCTCCTTAGGCAAATATTCTCAGAAAACCTAGAGGCCCTGGAAGGGAAGGAAGGAAATTTCTTATAAAAATGATGTGAGGACGGAAATGGGTGCCTTGGTAAGGGGGCTAATTATAATGTATATAACCTGTGTTTGATGGAGGGGGTATTTGTGGCTGCCCACCTAATTCCTTGTTGTCATTGTTCATAGGTGACGAATAAAGAATTTAATTTCATGATGTTTTTATCATTCCAGATCAGAATGAATTTGGTAACAAATAAAATATTCAAACAAACATAATAAGAATAAAGATTTTTTTAAAAGGCAGAACAGCTAGACCACACATTTTCCAGCCAGTCAAATCAAAGCAATAATTCAAACAGGTTCAGCTACCTGTTCTGGGAAAAAACAATATATTCAGACCACCCACTTTCTACTGGGCCAAATAAAGCAAATTCACCAGTCACATGTGTAATAAGGGCAACTTGGGAGCTATTGTTTAATCCTGCATGACTGGTAAGTTTTGTTGTTTTAGTTGGATATAATACTTTTATTCACTAAGTGGATTAGACACACAAGGAATTTGTCTCCTGTGCAAAGCTCAGTGTGCATGCAAAGCAACAGAGTAATAACCACAATAATGATAACAATAAGGGGGTAATAAACAATATGGGAAAGATAATACTACAGCCATACAACATGGGTAACTATACTTAGACATAAGACAATACCGTGAGAATTAGGTGAGTTATAGCACAAGGGAAGAAACTGTCCATATCTAGTTGCTTTGACATGCAATGCCCTGTAGCAGCGTCCGGAGGAGAGATGAAACAGTTTATGCCCTGAATGTGAGGGGTCTGAAAATATTTTCTCAGCCCTCCTGACTTGTGCAATATACAGATCTTCTATGGAAGGCAGTCTGGTTACAATTGTTTTTTCTGCAGTCCTAACTATCTGTTGGAGTCTGTAGCTGTACCAAACAGATGACAGACTCAATAACAGATGTACAGATGACAGACTCAATAATTCCTCTGCACCACAGTCCTGGGGCAGTCTGAACTTCCTCAGTTGATGCAGGAAGAACATCCTTTGTTATGCCTTTTTAATGATGGTTCTAATGTTAAGTGTCCATTTCAAATCTTAGGAGATTGCAGAACCCGAAAACTTAAAGGAATCCACTGCTGATTCTGTGTTGTTGAATATAGTAAGAGGTGGTAGAATAGAAAGGCTCCTCCTAAAATCCAGTATCATTTCTATAGTTTTAAGCATGTTCAATTTCAGATTGTTCTGGCTGTACCACAGGGCCAATTGTTCAACCTCCCTATATGCAGACTCCTCACTGTTACAAATAAGACCAATGAATGTTGTATCATCTGTAAACTTCAGTATTTTAACAGTGGGATCCCTAGAGATGCGATTTTCCCTAGCTTCATCTGTTGTTTTCTATCTATCAAAAAGCTAATAATCCACCTACAAGTACGGACAGGCACAGCTAGCTGAATCAATTTAAAGTGAAGAATTTCTGGAATTATGGTATTGAATGTGAGATGAAGTCTGCAAAAAGGACCCATGCATAGGTCCCTGTAGGTTCAAGATGTTGCGAGATATAGTGCAGTGCCATCAACAGAACAATCTGCTGATCTATTTGCTCGATAGGCAAACTACAAGGATCCATGATGATTTTCAGGTGGGCCAGAACTAATCTCTCAAAGATCTTAACTACATATGGCAGAGCAACCAGTCTGTAGTTATTCAGCTCCTTGATGGAAGGTTTCTTGGGAACAGAGATGATAGTAGAGTGTTTGAAGCAAGAAGGGACATAACAGATCTCTAGTTTATTCAAGATGTGAGTGAAGATGGGGGGTGCAGTTGTTCAGGACAGGCTTTCAAGCAGGAAGGAGTTTTTGATTGGTGCTTTTCCAATATTTTGTTTATGAAATAGACCACATCTTTTTCTAAGATCACCAGAGGTGGGAGGCCCAGAGGGATGAAGATAGGTGTAGGAGATTTGGCTATTATTGGTGTATCTGAGATGAGGAAGGTAGCGGTAGATGACAGTGGTCTCCTCTCAAACCTACAGTAGAATACATTCAGGTCATCTGCCAGATGACAATTCTCTTCAGTAAAGGAGGGAGCTCTGCTGTAGCCAGTGATATTCTTCAGGCTTTTCCACACATTTGCTGATTTCATTAGCTGAGAACTGATTTTTCAGCTTTTCAGAGTAGCTTCTTTTTGCTATCCTGATCTCCCTTGTTTATTCATTCCTGGCCTGACTGTACAAAATCCTATCTCCTTTCCTGTAGGCCTCCTCTTTGGCACGAGGTAGCTGTTGGAACCAAGCTATTATTATTATTATTATTATTATTATTATTATTATTATTATTATTATTATTATTATTATTTATGCACAAGCTCTTGGTAGGCACATACATGTCCTCACAAAAGCTAACACGTGATGTCATAGTATCAATGAGTTCATCCAAAACATTTGTATTCAATTTTGTTTAGACAGTTTTGGAGTAATAACACTTTAATGGAAAAATAGTACTGAAAACATTGCAAACTTAAATATTTTTACCATGTTGGTCTAGCAGAGCTCAATATTTATGGATTTTATATTTACTTATTTGAATTATTTAGATTTTGTTATCCCACCTTTATTACTTTATAAGTAATTCAAAGTGGTAAACATTCATAATACTCCTCCTCCTTCTGCCCACAAAAACAACCCTGAGGTGGGTTGGGCTGACAGTGATTGGTCCAAAGTCAGCCAGTCTGCTATCCAGGTATCTGTCTTTTACTGACCCTTTCCATTTCTTCAGAAGGAAAGATAGATTCTGCAACATTAATTTTATGTATGTTCAATTATAGAAGTTCTAAAAAGATTCAGAAGTTTCAAAAAGTTTCAGAAAAGCTTAGTATTATGTTCATACGGCATGCTTAATTTAATTATCAATGTCATCTATTTTCTGGATTTGTAGAAAACCATAAGGTAACCATATGGTCTGAATTTTCTCTGAACTATAAAATACTCAAGTAGGGTTATGCTAATCAAGCATAGCATGTTGCTATGTCTTTGCGTGGCCTAAGTTATGACAACACAGCTAAAAAGTCACTTGTTTTGAGACTCAAGATTCATGTTTTTGAACTGTTTTTTATTTCTGATTTTGTATTTCCTTAGTAACTGTTGCCTGCAATTAAGATAAAGCTGTATTTTACAAGTTTTAAGTAAAACGATTTACACTTTTGCCAGGTTCGGTCAAGAACATGCAGTAATAAATATCATAAAACCATTTTATATTTTCAGTTCCTGCTATAGAGTTTACTTTTTCAAACAACCACTGCATGAGCTACAGTTATTTGCTGTAACATTTGCATCCTAGTCTTCTCTCAAGGAATTCCCAACAGGATAAAAAATATTGATTTGCCTATTTTTTTTTTCTTTTCACATTAGCCCTGTAAGGCAAATCTGAACTGAAAGAGTGAATCAAGAGCATGGTCATCCAGTGACATTTATTACAAAACAAACTGTTTTTCTAAAGTATCTCCCCATTCCACATTCACTAATCAACCATGCTTATTCTGCTAAAATCCACACAATGATTTACACAACATTTGATTCCAGTAAAGCAGCGGTCCCCAACCTTTGCAGCTTGGCAGCCTGGCTATGAGGGAAAGGAGAGGGGAACTGGATGGCATGAGCAGCAGGCCAGCATGCATGAGCATGCACAATTGGTGGGCAGAGTGCATACATGCGAGTGCCCACCGACCCGCAGCTCGCACAAGTTGAGCTGTATGCACGTGTGTGCGCTCCAGCCAGCCACTTGCATGGCCCAATTCCAAATAGGCTATGGCCCAATTGTGGGCCGGGGATTGGGGACCCCTACAGAACCCTATAGAATAAGAATCTGGCTATGTACATCTGATAATTCCTAATAAGGATGAAACTACAATAGTCTATGTTGCCTGCTGGTAATCAGTTTAACTGAAAACACCACATACTATATACATTGTGTAAAAATAAGTAAATCCACCACCACTAGGATGAGGGGGAAGGTGAAAATAATGTAAAATTTTCTCTCACACTGCCTCAAAGCTTGAAGGGAAACAGAGTGTACATACCATTCTGATTGATTCTATATATTCTGTCTGACAACAGCAGTGGCAACTGAATACCTTCTAAAGTTTAATGCAAGGATCCCCAACCCCCGGTCCATGGACCGGTCCCAAGCCACAGCATGCCAGCAACCAGTCCACACAAACAAGCAAAGCCCCATCCGTGGGATGCAGGCAGCACACAAAACCATGCACTCTCCGGTCCGTGGAAAAACCCCTCTCCATGGAACTGGTCCCTGGTGCCCAAAGGTTGGGAACTTCTGGTTTAATGCAATATATTTATTCATCTAAAATGCAATGGTCAATAAATTTAGTTCTTGGAGATTTGAACAAACATCTAATATATTCATCCAATGGTTCCCAATAAAGATCATGTACAGTATCATCTCCTACTGCCTCCTGGAGGTCAACATAACTCTTTATAACAAGTATAAAAAATTGGCAGCCCTATTGTGCAAGAAAAAAGTGTCTCATAAAACTGTAACTGGATATTACACAAATCATCACAACTGTAGGATATATCTGAGTTTATATTAGGACTTGCTTTCAGCTTTTAACAACAATTTTAAAGAATGGTAGTAGTTATGGGAAAAAATTAAGATATCTGAGTCCAAATAACTCCCATATGTAAGAATATGTACATATGTAGGAATATGCACTTGCTGTGTAATGGTGGTATTAGTTCAAATCTCATTGAATCAGAGAGTTGAAAGAGGCTATTGGGTCAACACCCTGCTCAGGATAGGAATCCAAATTAAGCATCCCCAGAAGACAGCTTTCCAGCTTTCTCCTGAATATCTCTTACAATGGAAATCCTACTATTTCTTAGAACAATTAGTTCCAATGTTGAATGCTTATCTATGTTAATTTTATTCTATTATGTGAAGGTCAATATCTACAATCTGTTATAATAGATTTCAGCTTTATTTTTCTTTTAGAGTACATGGTTGCTACATCAACAAATCCTTGGAAATCAGTTCACCAATCACTTCTCCTATTCATGAAATAATGGAAAAGAGATAATTTGACATTTTCCTTTCAGACATAAGGAAGTAAGAAATAAGGCACAAATTAGGAAGGAGTTTGATTCAAGTTTGATCTCTTACTATGATATCTGCAAAAATATATTTTTATGGTTACTCTCTTGAGGTTCTCTTTTATTGTTATTTATATGTTCAGATTTTAAAATTGTACTATGGTTGTTTTAAATGGTATTATTTTATGTATGCCTCTGAGAGCATTTCAATTGCAGCAGGATAGAAATACGCTTAATAAACAAACATATCTGCATAGCTGGGCTTGAATTCTGGATTTCTATATTGGCAAATACAACTTGCTTTGAGGATTTTTCAGTACAATTTGTTGTGCCATGGTACAATTTTTTGCTGGGGATAAGGAGGTGCTTTTAAAAATCTTTTGATTATTTATGCCAGGGGTTCTCAACCTTGGCAACTTTAAGACTTGTGGACTTCAGCTCCCAGAATTCCTCAGCCAGCAAAGCTGGCTGAGGAATTCTGGGAGTTGAAGTCCACAAGTCTTAAAGTTGCCAAGGTTGAGAACCCCTGATTTATGCCAACAAAATGTTGTTCTGTGGTCGAAGAAATCACTGTAGTATATCTTTATACATTATTCAAAGTCCTAGCTGAAGACGGAGAGTGGTAGACATAGAGTACACAATTCTTGTGGAAAACACTGGAGCAAAGAAAGGAGACATGAATAATTCAGGTTGGCACATGCTAAAAAATGAAAATAGTGCCCATAGGGGAAGGAGGCTATAACATCTAAGGCAAGCCATAACATATCTAAGAAACAGTTTTCTGAGTAAGCATGGTTGCTAGTCTTACACAAGATATACAGATGCTCCCCTCTTCTGGCAGGAACTGTTGCATTTTGAGACAGGCTGGAGATGCATAAGAAGCTGGTTGGCTGGCTGGCTTGAGGATGCACGTAGCCTCTTAAGTACAAGGTGTTTTCTGTGCTCACATGCAACCGTAGAAGACCATTTGTTCTAAATTTTACGCCAGCAGTTCACTTAAACTAGATCAAATACTTAGTAAAGTAACCATATTAAAGATGAAAACTCCCTCACTTGGGCTGGATTTTTGACAGCTACACGTTCATGTAGTTTTTTTTTTTAAATATCATAGACGTAGAATGTTATTGCATACTGCTATTCTTTTAGATGTTTTTTAACCTCATAGTCTATCTATAGCCTTGGAGTTTCCTGGTCCCATCCATGTATCAACCAGATCTGACATGCTTAGGTTGTTTGAGATCAGCCAAAGGCATTGCCATAGGTTGTACTGAGATAGCAAAACCAATGCATGGATTTTCTATACAGTAATATATAGCAGATATCATAATACATTGATTAGTATTTTATCAATTGTAATGTATCAGGCCCTTTATTGTTTTAATTAAAATGGACTGAAGAGTCATTCTGGCTTGCCTCATCAGAAAGGCAGTAGATACTCTCTAATAATGCAGCACTTTGACAAATAGCAAGAAGTGTATAAATTCACCTTGGGTACCATTCTGAGCTCTGGCAATCTGCATTCCATTGAATATGCATTTTAAATGTGGCTCTTAAGAGACAATATAATCATTCACAGTAATCTAAAATACAATTCATTTTCCCCCACCCTCCAAAAAAAGAAAGCATATTACAGAGAAAGCAGTGAAATTCACTTCGAAGCAGCACAATATAAATTTAGGAAGTCTTATGTTTTAAAAGAGGAATTTGGAGTTCATGTAAATAATTCGTTTGCTGGATTTATTATAGTTTATGTTCACTTGCTTGCATTTCAACCTGAAATAATTTTCTTCCATTCTTTTGGTTTTAGAAAAAGTGCCAGGCTGATCAAATAGGAGTAGGCTGAGAGATGATGAAAAAGGTAACTTGCATTTGAATACAGTCCCTTGTGTGCAGCTTAATAGAAGATACAGAATTCCTGAATGATATTTACAGTAGAGTATTTACAAAATTCATAACGAAACAGGATCTCATGCTGTTCTTCTCCACATCCTGAATGGTCACATTTTCCTCTCAGATATAATGTACAATTATTAACAAGTACCAAACATCTTGATTTGGAGGCAAACCCTAATTGCAAGGCACATTCAAACAATTCCCCCAAACTTAAACAAGTCATTTTCTGATTACTTCTCTCCTAAAGAAAAATTGATTTTCTATTCAGCTGTCCTTTGAGTTGATGGGAAATCTTCCCTTGGCAAGGAAACAGAGAGTTAGTTAACTATTACGAAAACAACCTGCTGACTGACTTCCTGAACTGAATCACCCTTTGTGGATCTTCATATGTTTAGATAAGTGGTCACTGCGGGCAAATTTCTTCTCACATATTTGACACTGGTAAGGCTTGAGTCCAGAATGGGAGCGCTTGTGGCGAGAGAGCTCATCTGAACGGGAAAACCTGCCAGAGAGAAGAGGAAATATTTTTATCGCACATTTGTTAAAACCAAAGAGACTGTTGCTTTTTCCCCTGTGCCATCAACACCAAACCACAGAATACAGGAAAGTTTTCTGGGATATAGAAAAGATAATCAAATGGATGTCATCTTTATTTGAATCTCAAGAAACCAGCATTTTTCCACTTATGAAGTTTCCCTTGTAAATCAAACTTTGGCTCATGTAAATTCACACATATACATTACGTATGTAACATGTTGTATATGACTCAATAAGAGAGGAGACATGACACTTCTCCAGTTCACAACAATAAAGGCTTATGTTACTTTATCTTTGTGCATGTCTGGTCTTCTCTATTGCTCTTATAGTTTCTTTGGTTTTATTTTCATACGCAGATTTGCACATCCGATCTTCCTACGAAATCTTGCAACATACAAAGTCAAAGGCCTTAACAAATCTTAATAAAGCCATTGTATCTTTGCACAATACCAGTTCTCTATTTATAATGTAAAGAGAGATACAGAAGGAAACACTGCTTGTCTATTCTTATGTAACATTTCAGAAACAGGCTAGACATGATCTCAAACTGAGCTCAGAACACAAACTACTCCCTAGCAGATTGATTTTCCTTGTAATTGGAAAGGAATCATTGTTCAAATGTAAAGATGTAAGGCAAGTATTGGGTAACATGCAGCCATCAACCTAATTTCAAAACTCTTTCCAAGCAATCTGTTCAGTTCTCTGATTTGAGCAATCTGTCTCTCTCTTTGGCTGCCTACATGACAAAGAATTTTTAGGGTGGTGGTGAGGGGAAGAGACTTCAAAAAAAAGAGACAAAGACAGGGAGGCAAAAGTAAACTTTCTGAAGGGGTAAGAGGTAACCCTACTGCTGTAGATTCTGGCTATGCCTATCACTGACCTATCCATGATAACTCATACAGCACCTTCAGCAAATGACCTTCCCAGGAATGTGGCTCTTGACATAATAGGATTCCCAATTCAATGGAATAATGTTAACTTATTTTATCCATTCACTCAGGAACTATAGCCTGATGAAAACCAATTCCAGGCTATGAGCAATAGCTCTTTACTAAGGGCACGTTCAGATGGCTACGCAGTCCTTATGATTAAGGCCATCACCATCATAATGACACCGCTTCTGAACAATGATGTCATTTCTAACAAAATCAGCTCCAAAGTTGGCTTGTTGTAGGCACTCTCTGAAAATGTTTAGGCTAGCTTTTCCTAGCCAATAGCTCCAGTGATATTTTGGATCTTTTAAACAGATTGTTTGTTTATACATATAAGTAAGCAATGCTCTGAAGGCCAGCATTTGCATAAATGAGCAATAGTATATAACAAGTCATAAATAAAATAAATAGCAATATATAAATTTAAATAAATTAGGAGCAGGCATGCATACCTATAATGCACATGGATATCATAATGCCAAAAGTCTTTATTTGACTGAATATTTAAAAAGAGAGCCTTGATTAGCTACAGTCCTCCAGTATGTATGTATGTATATGTTGAAGCGTGCAAGTTATTTGCTTCAGTTTTATTCATTCATTTATTTCATTATTAACTCTTTTGCATAACTATGGCCTTCCCAAGGCAGTTTACAATAAGAAAAGTTACAGTTGGCCATACAATAGGTTATCACTACAAAGTAGCATCAATCATCAAATTAAAAGAATTGAAGAACAATGAAATATAGTTCAAGCTTTAACCATATATACAAGTAAAACTGTTCAAATACTATCTGATAGCCCAAGTTAAAAGGAGAAAAAGAAAGTTCTTTCTACACTTCAGTACTGCACGCTACAAAGACCAAAGATCTGATGCTGGATAAACATAATTTCTCTAAAATAGTTTTATACCACTCATCATTTTCCTGACCTGGTTCACATATTGTATTACCATGTTATGCGAATGCTCCCAATTGTGGTTTATTGAACAAACTAAAAACCAAGTTGTAGGATGTGTTTAATGCTGCATCAGGCCCTTGGATTAGAATCAATCTAAGATCAATTCTTTTTATCCTTCTGCAATAAACATTTTAAAACAGAGCCAGCATAAATAAGAAGCAAACTTATGAACACAATTATTAGATAACTAATGTTTGCATCAATTTGTTCTACCTATTTATATGTATGAGTTATATATGTATGGGTGGGTATTCTTGGTTCACTTACTCTGTCTCCTTTGTCATTCTGAAGGTCTCACAGAAATAAAAAGGGCAACTCAGACTGGGTGGCTTGTTCTTTTCAAGCTCTATCAAAATCCCACTCTGCCATTGTATAGAGCCAGCAGGATAAAACCGAGAAATTCACTGTGATATAATAGATTTTGTCATCATCTAGTTTATTAGTTTTAGTGATTCTTACTAGAAGAAGCACAAGACAGCTCTGGATCAAAGATAAATCTAAAATCCAAATTTCCCACAGTGACCAATCTGGGCATCGTGGCAAGTCAGAAATAGGGAGAAAGATAACACCATCTTTTGGCTTATATCCAATGATAGATGATAATATTTCTTTAAAATACTACCATTTTTTCTCAACTTATTTTTTGCCTAAATGGATCAGACTTTGATTCTCCTAATCCAGAATCAACTGGCCAGAAGGGAATCAAAATCTCTAGAATACCCACCTCCATGAAGCAGCATAGTTTCAAACTAAGGGAGTGCATTCCTGGTTACCAAAACATGATAGAAGCTTACATAAGGTAATGTAGAATCTGAAATATGTTCTAGTCATAATTCCTCCCACTTGCATTTTCATTTAAAAGCCACTCATTGTCAACATATCAGAGGAGTTAGCAAAGATCCATTTCTTAATACATTTACCAGAGTTCTGAGGGGAGAAAAATAAGTACATTATTGCAATAAAATGGGAATGCATCCAAAGTTATGTAGTTGAAAGAATGGAAGCAAACAGATCAGCCAAAAATCTTTTAGCATAATTCTTAATAGTTTGTAGGCTAAGAATTGTAGAGTATGGCAAATGAGAGTGAGCCAAAGTGGCAAGGAGGAGTTCCCTATTTGTTGTAGCATGTACTTAAAACTTGCAGTTGTGTAGACATTATGGATTGGGGAAAGGTACATTTCCTACTGAAGAAGCCCTCATTTTCCAAGTTTGTCCACAAAATAAGAATTGATAGACTACTCTTCAGGTGGATCAATTGTGGATATATCACAACTGAAATAATTCACAAGTTTCTCTAAAGGTAGCTGCTCACAAGACCATTAATTTCTTTCACCACATCTGATGGATAGAATTTGTTCCTTTAGTCAACAGTAATTTCACCATTTGGGATGCCACCAGTTTAGCCAGTTTAGTTTTAAAAATTCCTATCCTCTTAATAGCTTTACAAATGAATTAGCTAGTTCTGAATGGACAATCTGCTCTATGAAAGAATTTAAGTTCTTAATGTATAAAGTGGAACAGGTGCAGCTCAGTTCTTTAGGGTTTTTTGGCAATATCATGTGAATCACAGCTAACTATACCAGTATATAAGGATTTATCACACTAGAACTTCCCCTGAACTTTCAAATAAAAAAGAATACTATTAACTTCCCCACCTTTATACTACAATGGTATTCTTAATATAAAGAATTCTTATTATTGCAGCCATTTTGTAGGATTCTCGTCGGAGTCTTTCCATGACTTAACTGGAGATATCAAGGACAGAACTTTTCTGTAGGTAATATTGTGCTCTAGCATTCATGCCCCCCCTTTAAATATATAAAAAATTCTCTTGTGAATCATTGTGTTAATTTCTTTTGGTGTATTTTTGTTTTTTCTTGTGATTTGTTGAAATATTTTTATGATGCAATATGATCTGTTATCTACAAAAAACGTTGAAGACCTTTTCATTGCTTTCCCTTTCCATTTCCTAGAATCATTCATACTCTGGGCAGAGGTGTTAATATCTGATTTAGTAGATAACAGAACATAGAATGTAGAGGTGATGTACAAATGACAGAATTTAACATGTTCCACAGATTGTCCTGAGTATCCTAAGCTTTAAAACTCTTCTTGAGGTATGATATTTAATTATTAGTGCTGAAACAAGATTCAGTCTTATTTCTATAATACTAAATCTTATTTCAATCACCTTTTCTCCGTTGAGTGAATGGGATTCTCTCTTTTACCTCAAATCCCGGGCTGGTCTTGCTGATCTTTTTGAATGCTATTTCCCAAACTTGGTGGCTTCAGATCTTCAGCTTTATGTTTTATCAGGAACCCTTGTATTAGGTGAAATTATTTCTCCAACTAGCCCAGGACTGTCTACTTTAATCTGTAGAATCTCTCCTATAATATTCAATCACTAGCTTCTAGAACCTTACTATAAACACTGCAGAAGCCAAAATAGTTTGATTTTTAATGAAAATGTTATGATTAATTAAAAAAAACAATCAAAACATTTGTAAACTTAATTTCAAGTTTAACAGGACATGCCACGGACAGAACCTCTGAATCCTACACATGCATTCTACCAGTGGACTATAGTCAGTGCATTCAATTTGCCTTTCTCTCACAAGGGTCTCCTTTCTCTCAAATTTGCAAAGATATAACCTCCACACTATTTTATACCAGAAGAACAGAACCTGTGGTCCCCCAGATGTTGCTGTTATCCTTGGCCATGCCAAGCAGGGTTGCCTGCAATCATAATTCAAATCATACCATAAATTGTTCAGTCTGGTCTAGGTAGTTAGAGATTCAAGGCTGTCTGAGAGATGTTTTTGACTAATTTGTTTTCAGAGGGAGAATCCATACAGTTCTCTCCCCCCCCCCCGTGTGTGTGTGTGTATGTGTGTGTGTGTGTGAGAGAGAGAGAGTTTCTCCTCTCTGCAAATAAATTATATATTTATTTCATATTGTTTAATTTTGTTTCCCTTATTCTGAACTATAAAAATTTGGATGACCACTTGATGGCAGTAAAAAGATTCAGAAATCAAACTCTCTGTTCCCCTTCAGAAGTTATCTGGTGTCTTGCATCCCAAATATGGTAACCCTGTTCTTATCACAGAACTGTCATTGGGATAAACAACACAGCTCTGTCAATTACTGCAAAGCTCCCCGTAAATACAATTACACATCTGTTAACAGCAGCCTTTCTCCACATTTGGAAAGTTTCCACTGATGCAATGACAAACAGACAACTGGAAGCTTAAAATTGTGCAAAGTATTCTCTTGAAGAAGAGATATATGCACATAAATGTAATTTTCCAAAACTTTGCAACCTTACTCCTGTAGGATATAGCTAGAACTGAAAAGATCAGCATAATTGCATAAATAAAATGACAGTCTAACACAGTCCATGACTGGATAATTCTTTATCAGAACAAAATATGTGCAAAACTGTAGAGAGCTTTCAAGAGTTCCAGAACTCTTCATCCAGCCAGTTTACAAGAAGCAGGGGGGGGGGAGAGAGAGAGAGAGAGAGGAGGGGTGAATAAGCTAACATGAAGATGAGGTCATGAAGGCCAATGGCCTGCAGACTAGGAAGGATTCTGGAGGAAAGGAGAATACTATGGGGAACTAATTCACACTGCCTTTGAAAATGTACATTAAACACAATCCCAAGGGATAGGAGGTTAACCTTAAGGCTTTCCCAAACTGTAGAACACCAAGCAAAAATTCAGCAGCTGAAGCTTTTCACAGTCCTGCTAAGAAGGAAAGAAGTTATTTTACACGAAGCTAAATTATTGTAAGCTGGCAGCTGTAAAACGAATCAAAACCTTGTGAGTAGGGAACAGAAAAAGACAGAGGAACTATTGTATGTGAATCAATCTCTCATCAAGAAAGGACATAAGAAATGCCATGCCTATTTAACCTTCTAGCTCAACATTCTGTTCCTAAGAGATTGCACATGGGAAGCCTAACAGCAAGTTACTCTGTTCATGTTTGTCAGCAAGAGACTGCAGATTGCTTTAATCCTGGACTAGCAGTAGCCTTTGATAGTTTTACCCTCCCAAAATTTAATTCTCTTTTAAACCTGTGGAAGTTGACGGACTTCAGGGAATCCTGTGGTAATGAACTTCATAGTTTATTTATGGTGCTGTGTGAAGAAGTACTTCCCTTTATCTATCCTCATTTTTTACCAAAGAGTTTTGGAAGATATATCCCAAAAGAAAAGGACAAATATGTATGCTTTTTTTTTGTAACTAAACAGTCCACATTGTTGTAATCTTCCCTTGTGGGCAATTTGAATATTTCAGTTGCCATTTTCTGTATCTTTTTCAACTCTATATTAAATATACATCAGCATAGTCACACACTATTGTTTAAATATTCACTATTTAAACATTGCTTCACATAATTATATAATAAGATACTGTTGACCAATTATCTAAGTATTAATAAATGCTTATATAGTTGTTTCTGTCAATTGTGTTGAGATTACCGGTATGTGTTTGTTTTTCAGATCAGGTAAATACATTTCAAATTATTTTTCAAACAAAGTATGATCTGTATTTAGACTACAATCCTAAACAGTCTTACAAGGCTTACTGAACCTATTTGGAATGTCTTTTGTAAAAATATATGTGGAATTACAGTGTGGGTTCAGAGAAACAGTAATAGAAATGACAGAATTCTAAGACTATTACACTTATTTGAAATGCTTCATTGAACAGTGAACTATACTAAAAATTGGCTTTAGCAGTAAGCCTATAGTTACAAAAGCTGTGAAAGATGTAGCTGGAGAGCTTAGTTAAGAAAATGGTTTTCACTGTCACCCACTTACCTCCAACCACAGTCAGGCCAAGTACAAGTATAAGGTTTTTCTCCAGTATGACGTCGGAAGTGTGCCTTAAGATGGGAACTCTTGGTATACATCTTGGTGCAGCCAGGATGTGTACACTTGTGGAGTCGAATAACAGAAGGAGAAACTTTGGGGACCTTGGTCTCTATACTCTTTGGACTTCCAAGAACTTCTGGCCTCAATGCCATAGGCAAAGGAGCTATTCGTACATACTTCTGGTCTGTGCCTTTCGTAGGACTTGGAGTGACCTGAGGATAAACAGTCAAGTTTTGGCCTTGCATTCTGATGATCAGGTGGGCCACCTGGGTATCACCCACAGAATTCTGGATGGAAGAGCTATCTTCTGCTTGGACAGGCTGAATCTGAAGGAGAACAGGGATTGTCCCCACAGTTCCAGGCATGTTTATATCTCCAGATACTACTCCAGCCTGAACAGAACTAGAAACGCCTTCATCTAGCTCAGTCCCAGTAGCAGACTGTTCTCCTGCACTGCTTAAGTTGATTTCAGATTTTATCTCAAGTTGTCCCCCTGGTTGTTTGTCATTCAGCTCATCCTTGACAAGTGCTTTCTTCTCATTGAGGAACTCCTCAATCTCTTCCAGCGTAGGGATGAAATCTCTAGAGACTTCAGAACAAAAATCTGGCAGTTTGAGGTAAGCCTCATAGATGGTATTCTGTGGTTTCTCCACTTCCTTCTTTACCACTGACAACGAGACACCCATATCTGATGTAGAAACTGTATTTGAGGTAACAGCTGGAACAGACACTTGTTCATTGCTGCAGTCCTGTAGTAAATTTAATGGTGGCATGTCAGGCTTGAGAACATCTAATATGATATCTTGCTGATCAAAAGCTGGGGCAAGCAATGGACAAGAAACAGATAGCAGTTTGCTATGACTTACTGAGACCATGGGTTGGTCTATTCCGTCATAAAAAGTTGACTTGCACACTGTGTAATCAAATCAGATGGTAATGAAGGCCTTGGGAAATCTATAGATCCACCTGCAAGAAAACAACCACAAGCTTGTCTAAAGGTATCCACATCTAGCTGAAACAAAATCAAAATATAGATTTTTGGAAATTAATTTTGTAGGAATACACATTCCAATTCAAAAAAATATCCCTGAAGCATACTGCATTAGTATCCAAATATCCAATGACTTTCTAGTTAGTAACAAACTGATATCTTATATTGTTATGTTAATAAAGCCATTGATTTGACACAAAATCTATGCTTATCTTTTAATTATTTGGCCAGTGATACATTGGCATTTTCTTTTTGCTCTGAATTTTATTGCACATTCTTCTTAGTATTATTACTGTTATTACTATTATATATAAAGAAAGGTGGAATAAAAATATAATAACTCAAGGGGGCAAACATATCTTATTAACATTTTGATTTTCAATTCCAGTGTGTAATTTTAGGGATTGGCTTGGGGGTTGGCTGTGCCCATCCAATCAGGGCATAGCCAACCCCCCAGCCAATCAGAGCACAGCCAAGCTCCTAACCAATCAGAACATACCTCCATCCAATCAGAACACAGCCAAGCTCTCATCCAATCAGTTCATACCCCCACTGGCAGTTAAAAGGAGGAAACAGCTACAATCACACATTGCTCCTAGAAGCACAAAGCCGAAAGCACCAGCCTGAAGATGACGAATGAGACTTCGTCGAAACGTCGCCAAGACACTTTCAATTTTACATGGGAGAAAACCCGAATAACCAAAGACCTACATACAAACACCCGCGAAAACCTCAGAAAACATATATATTAGGGGGTGGGAAGTTCTTTTTATCCCCTTGCTGATCCAATTACCCTTGTGACAGGGCCACTCTTCCTGATTGCCTGTGACTGCCTTAACTGTTCCGCCCTCTCTTTTTTGCACTCTAACATTGTATTTTTCTGCTCTGTCATCCTTGTGCTGTCTCCCCCTCCCTGCGCTGTTATCATTAACACACTCCTCAATCCCTCCTCTCTACCCAATGCAAGGTGCCTCCTCCGATTCGGCAATACACGAGTCCTGTTGGGCTGCTGGTCCGCCTGCCGTTTTTGCATTCCATTGCCAGTTCCTATCTCATCTCCCTCCTCCAACTCCCTAGCCTGCTGATTCATACACCCTTTGTTGTCCATTCCTGTCATCCTTCCCCCCCTTCCTTCAACCCTCCCACCTGTTGATTAACATATTGCTCCTGCCTTTCATCAACCATTCCTATTGATGTTCTCTTCCTCAATGTCTTTTCCTTCCTGATCCGCTGCTCTACCTGCTGTTCCTGTATATATATATTTTGTTGTTAATTGCGAAGTCGTGTCCGACCCATCACGACCCCATGGACAACGTTCCTCCAGGACTTCCTGTCCTCTACCATCTTTTGGAGTCCATTTAAATTCACACCTACTGCTTCAGTGACTCCATCCAGCCATCTCATTCTCTGTCGTCCCCTTCTTCTATTGCCCTCAATCTTTCCCAGCATTAGGCTCTTCTCCAGTGAATCCTTCCTTCTCATTAGGTGGCCAAAGTACTTGAGTTTCAACTTCAGGATCTGGCCTTCTAAAGAGCAGTCGGGGTTGATCTCTTCTAGGACTGACCGGTTTGAACGCCTTGCAGTCCAAGGGACTCGCAGGAGTCTTCTCCAGCACCATAGTTCAAAGGCCTCAATTCTTTGGCGCTCAGCCTTTCTTATGGTCCAACTTTCACAGCCATACATTGCAACTGGGAAAACCATGGCCTGGACTATACGCACTTTTGTTGGCAGGGTGATGTCTCTGCTTTTTAGTATGCTGTCTAGATTTGCCATAGCTTTCCTCCCCAGGAGCAAGCGTCTTTTAATTTCTTGGCTGCAGTCCCCATCTGAGGTGATCTTGGAGCCCAGAAAAATAAAATCTGTCACTACCTCCATTTCTTCCCCATCTATTTGCCAGGAATTGAGAGGGCCGGATGCCATGATTTTGGTTTTCTTAATGTTGAGTTTCAAGCCAACTTTTGCACTCTCCTTCTTCACCCGCATCAAGAGGCTCTTTAGTTCCTCTTCACTTTCTGCCATTAGAGTGGTATCATCTGCATATTTTAGGTTGTTGATATTTCTCCCGACAATCTTAATTCCAACTTTTGATTCATCTAGCCCTGCCTTTCTCATGATGTGCTCTGCATATAAGTTAAATAGGCAGGGCGACAGTATACAGCCTTGCCGGACTCCTTTTCCAATTTTGAACCAATCAGTGGTTCCGTGTTCGGTTCTCACTGTTGTTTCTTGACCCGCATATAGGTTTCTCAAGAGACAAATGAGATGGTCTGGTACCCCATCTCTTTAAGAACTTGTCACAATTTGTTGTGATCCACACAATCAAAGGCTTTTGCATAGTCAATGAAGCAGAAGTAGATGTTTTTCTGGAACTCCCTAGCTTTCTCCATGATCCAGCGTATGTTGGCAATTTGATCTCTAGTTCCTCTGCCTCTTCGAAATCCTGCCTGTACTTCTGGTAGTTCTCGATCCACATACTGCTGGAGTCTGAGTGCAATGAGTGCAATGGTGCGATAGTTTAAACATTCTTTGGCATTGCCTTTCTTTGGAATTGGAATGTAAACTGACCTTTTCCAATCCTGTGGCCACTATTGAGTTTTTCCAAATTTGCTGGCAAATTGAGTGTAGCACTTTTACTGCATCGTCTTTTAAGATTTTGAATAGCTCAGCTGGAATACTGTCACCTCCACTAGCTTTGTTGTTGCTCAGATTTTCTAAGGCCCATTTCACTTCACATTCTAGGATGTCTGGTTCGAGGTCAGTGACCATCTCATTGTGGTTATCTGGGATGTTAAGCTCATTCTTGTATAGTTCTTCTGTGTAGTTTTGCCATCTCTTCTTAATCTCTTCTGCCTCTGTTAGGTCTCTGCCATTTTGGTCCTTTATCATGCCCATCTTTGCATGAAACGTTCCCTTCATATCTCCAATTTTCTTGAAGAGATCTCTGGTCCTCCCTATTCTGTTGTTTTCTTCTATTTCTTTGCACTGTTCATTTAAGAAGGCATTCTTATCTCTTCTAGCTACTCTCTGGAATTCTGCATTCAATTGGGTGTATCTTTCTCTTTCTCCTTTGCCTTTCGCTTCCCTTCTTTCCTCAGCTATTTGCAAAGCTTCCTCAGACAGCCATTTTGCTTTCTTGCATTTCTTTTTCTTTGGGATGGTTTTAGTTGCTACCTCTTGTACAATGTTGCGAACTTCCATCCATAGTTCTTCAGGCACTCTGTCTATCAGATCTAATTCCTTAAATCTATTTGTCACCTCTACTGTATATTCATCAGGAATATGATTTAGTTCATACCTGAGTGGCCTAGTGCTTTTCCCTACTTTTTTCAATTTAAGCCTAAATTTTGCAACGAGAAGCTCATGATCTGAGCCACAGTCAGCTCCTGGTCTTGTTTTTACTGACTGTATAGAGCTTCTCCATCTTTGGCTGCAGAGCACATAGTCAATCTGATTTCTGTATTGACCGTCTGGTGATGTCCATGTGTAGAGCCGTCTCTTGGGTTGTTGGAAAAGAGTGTTTGTTATGACCATCGTATTCTCTTGACAAAATTCTATTAGCCTGTGCCCTGCTTCATTTTGTACTCCAAGGCCAAACTTGCCTGTTATTCCGGTTATCTTTTGGCTTCCTACCTTAGCATTCCAATCCCCCATGATGATAAGGACATCATTTTTTGGTGTTAATTCTATAAGGTGCTGTAGGGCTTCATAGAACCGGTCAATTTCATCCTCTTCAGCACCAGCGGTTGGGGCATAGATTTGGACTATTGTGATATTGAATGGTTTGCCTTGGATTCGAATTGAGATCATTCTGTCATTTTGGGGATTGTATCCCAGTATTGCTTTTCCTATTCTTTTATTGACTATGAAGGCTACTCCATTTCTTCTGAGGAATTCTTGCCCACAGTAGTATACCTGATGGTCATCTGAGTTAAATTCACCCATTCCTGTCCATTTTAGTTTGCTGATTCCTAAGATGTCGATGTTCAGTCTTGTCATCTCTTTTTTGACTACGTCTAGCTTGCCTTGATTCATGGATCTTACATTCCAGGTTCCTATGGAGAAAAAATCTTTACAGCATCGGACTTTCCTTTCACCACCAGATATATCCACAGCTGAGCGTCCTTTCGGCTTTGGCCCAGTCGCTTCATTCTTTCTGGCGCTACTAGTACTAGCCCTCTGCTCTTCCCCAGTAGCATATTGAACACCTTCCGACCTGAGGGGCTCATCTTCCAGCGTCATATCTTTTTGCCTTTTAGTACTGTCCATGGGGTGTTCATGGCAAAGATACTGAAGTGGTTTGCCATTTCCTTCTCCAGTGGATCACATTTTGTCAGAACTCTCTGCTATAACCTGTCCGTCTTGGGTGGCCCTGCACGGCATAGCTTATAGCTTCATTGAGTTACGCAATATAATTTGAAATAAAAGTGAGCACCAGGGAAGTTAAAACTATAAAAAGTTCAATTAAAAAACGCCAAGCTTTCGCTGGCTTCTGCCGACATCATATATATATATATATATATGGTTAATAACACTAAAAAAATATGAACCCTGGGAATATTCATATTTAAAATAAGGTGAGCACCAGGGTGATAAAACTATAAAAGTTTAATTTAATTTAAAAATGCCAAGCTTTCGCCGTCACCTGCCGGCATCCTCAGGGCTTAAAACGCCAGGGAGTGAGAGAGTCTCTTATAAGCAAGCCAAAGTCTGCGCCCGGCTCCTCGATCTCATCATCGGACCTAATTGGTTGGATTGTGCTCCGGTGACTCGTTTCTTCCTGCACCCCTTTTTTTCGCGTGTGTCCTCATTTGCCTTCTTTTCTTTGAGCTCTAAAGTAGGTGGAGCAACCCCCTTGTCTCTCTGATTGTCTCTGTTCTCTCCCTCGGGTTTATCTAGTGGTTTGCATTTCTCCTTCTCCTTCTCCCAATCCACATTTGCACGACTATTCTCTCTCTGAATGTTTTCCCTTTCATCC